TGGAAAGCTTTGGAGATGGGTCACTCCGTCCACTCCCAATTGACAATGACAAAGAAAGTAAAGAGAGTTTCTGTAGAAAAGAAGAACAAAATAGAAACGAAAGGAGACAACTTAGCCGTGCCCTCCATCTCTATCTGGAGAGTACAGAGGAATTGCATCTCTCAGATCTTTCTCCTCATTTCCGCATCACCAACGATGCAATGCAGCACTTTGCTCGATCGAGTCTTCTCTAATGCTGCCACTTGAGCGTCACTACCAGCATTTCTTTTCTCAGAAGCTTGATTCACTGCAAAGTTTGAGAGCTATAAGATCGGTTTTGGATTGATAAGTGCAAGATACCTGAGTATTTCCATTCCATCTTTTTTGTCCGTTTTTGTTCTTTGTTTTTCTTTTGTAGAGTTCGTGCTTCTCGCGGACAGCCTGCACCTTGGTAGAAAGGAGACGCAATAAAGCACGAGGTATAGTTTTCGTTTCGCAACTGCTCAATCAAAACTTGACAAAACAATGGTTTAGGAAAAAAGACGCTTCAATCGTCTGTTTATGTGTTGCTGTGTTGCCTTACCTGAACTTGAATCCTCTACAAGTAGTACGAATATGTTTTGCCATCGTAGGCTTTGTGTACAAATGTGGCCGCTTGCAGGTCTCTTGGTGTAGCACTTTCATTTTGTGGTCACAGGGAAAACTTGGATGACTGGAGCTCGCTCTTATCTGGTATTAAGTGATCAGTCTAACATATGCGAGACCTTTGACAAGTACATTGTGTGGAAGCCATTGTCCCGGCAGTCCGGGGCTGTGAGGCCGTCTTCCACACAGCCTGCCCCTTCTTCTGGAAGTTTGACACCCCAGATGTAAGAATCTAGCTGGTTTTGCTCGTGGGCGATGAGAAATTTTCTGAGTTTTTTTTTCTGCCAGGATGTGTTGGTCCCAGCAATCACTGGAACGGAGAATTTGATCCGTGCTTGCAGCGAGGAGAAGATCAAGGGAGTGGTGATGACCTCCTCCGGCGCAGCGGTCATGGTTGACCCGGATCGTCCCGAGGACAAGGTGGTTGATGAGAGCTGCTGGACGAACGTTGACCACTGCCGCAAAATCGAGGCAAGTAAATGATATCTGGATTCAGGAAGTTTATCTCCGAAAGAAGGTAAACTTTTTACTTAGCAAACCTGTGGAAATAAATGTGAATCCTTAGACTCACCCGGTAGGAGCGCGGCATCTATCCGGCTTTAAGCACACGTAGTATTGTACCTGCAAGTGTCACTAAAAGTGGTAAGGAAGGAGCACGAAGCACACGCTCTGGAAACATGACATTTATTCCCGGGCCGGGGATCAAACTTGACTCTTTCGCCAACGCAACGAAGCCCCGTCGCTTTTTACTGTCTTCTCCAATCCCTAGAGCACCGTGGACAGCAAATGAGGCCTTCGGGCTCCATATCCCATTTAAGAAGCGTGAGCTGCGATGGTTGGACCTCAACAAACCGATGAGATCCCTTCTAGTTCTGACCTCGTCAAAGGAAGCTGTCATGTCGCTCTTGTAGTCATCTTGAGAAAGAAGCAATCCGGCAAATAGATACAGAACAGTGACACGCAGTCATTAGTGTATTCCACTTTTCTTTTTGACGTTACTGTGAAGAAGTTTCCACTTGTGTATCTGTTTGCAATTAAACGGAGATAACTTGGTCACCGGAAAGCTGCCAATACGAGTGATCGTTATGCCAAGGTCTGGTTGCTGAGTACCAGGTTCTTTCACGAGAACTGGTCGTAGAAGAGCCCCGCCAGCTTTCCCCTGTGTTATATGGAACGAAAACGAGAAGAAACACGGATAAAAAAAACACATCATCATCCGCTTCGCTATGTCGCAACACTTGAATTAGAGCTCCAGAATTCTAAGCTGACCTCCATAGGAGAATAAATTCCTTCGAAAATGCAGGATTCCTCGAGGAAGTGATCTCTAGCTGCAATGCTGGCGAATTTGTAGAGCGCGAAAATAAAGTTTTAGGGTGTGCGAGAGGGTCAAGGTCGACAAAAAAGGGAGATGATGCCTTAGAACTGGTCTCACAAAGGACACTAAAGAACTTACCTGGATTTTTCATGTTATTGTCAACGCGAGGTTGCTCCACCCAGGACGAAGCACACTTTCGATACGTTATGAAATTAATTGAGCAGAAAATTCTTACATGATATCGAGTTGAAATGATCCAATGGCCAATCCGATGCGCCAGACCATAGACCAGTCTCCACCACCACCTTGTTACTAGATTTTTTCTAGATTTTAACAATGGCTGGGTCTTCCTCTAATCCACCTCCTCCTCCACCTCCTGCAAATTCAGGCTCGTCTCCTGGAAACTGGGACGGTTGGGCGAAGATGCTTAACAAATTCATGGGGACAAACTTTGCGACATGGCGTACCAAAGTCCAACTTATCCTCCTTGCTAAGGACTGCTGTATCGTGGACGGAACAGAGCGTAAACCTATGGACCTCGCACTTCAACCGGCATGGGAGAGTCGCAATTGCAAGGCGCTATTTGTGGTTGGACTTAGATTGGGCGATGAGTACATACACTTGCTTGATCTCGCAAAGGATGCACACGCAAACCGGGATGCTCTTCTTGCTGTTTTCTCGGCCAGGGCTGAGAATGCTGAAGTGACGCTTACCCAGAAATTCCTGAACATGTGCATAGATCCAAAAGACGCTATTGCGACCTACATCGGCAAGCTTCGTGGTCTCATGGCTGAACTCAAAGAGGCTGGGCCGCCCGTCTCTGAAGAACAAGCCAAGGCGCTGATTCTCTGCTCTATCACCCCAGAGCTACAGCAGTTCTCGTCCATGCTCTCATTCATTCCGGGTCAAACACTTGGGACTGTTTGCTGGAAGAAGAGCGCAAGATGAAGGAACGTAGTCAGGCCTCTCGGGATGCTCGTGAGCAGGCCTTGTACATCGGTAGCAAGCCCTCTGGAGACAAGAAGAAAGAGGCATTCTTGCAGAAGCCCAACACCTCTTCTTCTCAATCTGGGGCAAACACTACTAGGAACTGCGGCAAGATGGGACATCGCAACCTGATCCTCTGTTGATGATGACCGTCTGCTCATCCCAGGAATCACTCTCTGGATGGATTCAGGGGCTTCAATGCACATCACACCTCTTCCACACTTCCACAGCGTTGGAGACCTTGAAACAGGTGTACGTGGGGGACAAAAGAGGCCTCACAGTCGCTGGGCATGGAACAGTGGTCATCAAGCTTCCTAATGGCTCACGCAGACACCTCGAGAGGATGTTCCATGTTCCAGGAGCTGATCAAACAATTCTTTCTATTGGCATAGCATCAAAGCCTATAAGACCTGGGCATAGACTGCCAGGAAGGTCAAGGTATATCGCACAGATAGTGGAGGGGAATTCATCTCCAATGAATTCCAAGGCCAATACTTTACTGCTTATAGCCCTTGGCAAAATGGCAGGGGTAAAAGGGAAAGGTCAACCAACCAAACGTCCGTACTGGCGCCCGCGTTGCTAAGCGTGCCAACAGAACTCTTCTGGAGAGCACACACTGTATGTTTCAGCACTCTGGACGTCCTTACGCATTCTGGGGAGAAGCACTGTATCCAAATTAGGTCATCTACGCATTTTTGGGTGTGTGGCGTATGCCCACATTCCTAACGCGCACAGGAAAAAACTCGATCCCAAGAGTGAGAAATGTTTCTTCCTATGATCAGATGAAGGCCTACAGGCATTACAACTTTAACGTAACAAGCCACGATATAGTATTTGTCTATCTCCACGAACTTTGACTAGATGGTGGATCTTTCACTTATCCTAGACAACATTCCTGAGCCCCTCGTGCTGCCCATTTCTCTGGCTCAAGGAGGAGTGCCTAGCAATCAAGGAGGAGTCCCTATCAATCCATAGAGAGCTGCCATACCTCCAAGAGGAGTAGCACTTCCCATTCTTGGTACTTCCATACAGCTTTGACAGTGCCTCTTTGTCACTTACTCTTTCTGGCCCTTCTGTTGCCCAGGAGACTGAAGATCAAACCATCCATACTCTTGTGGAGAGCATCATGGAAGGTGATGAGGTTCTTCCTCCACCACACGTGATGATGACCACTTCACCTCCTCTAGTTAGTAACTAGTGAACTATAACACACTCTGACGAAGAATCAAGCTCTCTACCAAAGCTTAGGAAGCAAAAGCCATGGCTCCAACTTGCACTACTCGTCGTGGTCCTTTCTACTGGGCCATGCATGCTGTGCTTGAACCTGACAGCTTTAATGCTGCACTCAATAATTTTGGGGCAGAAGTTTGGCAATAGGCAATGCAAGAGGAGTATGAGTCACTCCAGAAGAATCAGACCTGGACACTGGTCCCTCTTCCTCCAGGCCCGTTTCAGCCAAGTGGCTGTTTAAATGCAGTACAAAGCTGATAGCACAGTGGAGCGTTACAAAGTATGTTTTGTAGCTTGCGGTTTCTCTCTAGTTCACTACACCAAAACATACAGCCCAATGGTAAAACTCACAACCATTTGTTTGCTCTTAACCCTGGCTATAGAGCTCGACCTGGAGGCTTTGGAATTATACTGTTTGGAAAGATGGGCCGTGACTATGTTGCTCTCAATCCATTCGTATACCATCATGGTCGTTCCTCAATGGCGACCTCCATGAAGAGGTCTACATAGCTCAACCTCCCGGTTTTGTGCGTGCTGGCCAAGAGCATGCATGTGGTAGACCAAAATCAATTCTTATCTAATTTCGCTTGGCTTCGTGCGCAGCACAGTAGACACAAATCTCTACATATACAAGCAGGGCCGTGGCTTTCTCTTCCTGGCTCTCTATGTAGATGATACCATACTTGCCTCCAACCAGCTTTGTCTTCTCAACCAGATCAAGAAGTCTCTCTTCTCACGGTTTGAGATGACTGATCTTGGCAAGCTACACTACTGCTTGGGCATCCAAGTTCACAAAGATAGGCAACATGGATTCTGGAACTTTCTCAGGTCAAGTACATCACTGATGTCCTTGAGAGGTACTTTATGATTCACGCTAACCCCGTTGCTACACTTGTGGAAGCTGGCACCAAGGTTTCCAAAGCAACTCCAGATGATCCAGCTCCCGAGGAGGAGAATTGGAGGCTCTATCGATCCATTATCAGAGCTTAATCTACCTGGTGGTTTCAAGCCGACCTGATCTTGCTTTCTCCGTGGGCTGTACGGCAAAGTACCTGGACCATCCAACACTAGCTCACTGGGCAGTGACTAAGCGGATCATGCGGTACGTTTCTGGAACTAGAAACTTATCTCTGCGATATTCCAGAGGTGAGAGCTCAACAAGCTCCGAGCTGGTTGGGTATACTGATGCAGACTGGGGAGGAGATGCTAATGACCGACGTTCTACATCTGGCTACGTGTTCCTCCTCGATGGCAACGTGATTAGCTGGTGCAGCAAGAGACAATTAAGCCAGCAATGTCCAGCACAGAGGCGGAGTACGTGGCTGCTGCTGCTGCTGCAAAGGAGGCTACATGGCTCCAGAGGCTGCTCCAAGGCATGGGAGTGATATCACACTCAATCAAGCTGTGGTGTGATAATATGTCTGCGATAGCACTCACCAACTTCAAGTTCCACTCAAGGACAAAACACATGGACACTTCATTCAGGAATAAGTTCAGAAAGGTGCAATTCTCTTGGAGTTTGCCCAACAGCCTTGATGGTGGCTGATATCCTGACGAAGCCAATTCCTCATATCAACCATGAGATCAACTCCGGCTAGCTAACTTTGAGGGGAGTGTGGGAAAACACAAGATCACCACGTCAGCGATCCTGGACATCAGCAAGCCACATATAGCTAGCTATATAAAGATGTAACCAAAACACTATAAAGTTTACTGAGCAAAAAATTCTCACGTTGTTAATTGAAAACATCTTCATCGCTGTTCTACCTTGCAACACACACAACTAGAAGGGGGTTGGCAGCATCTGCATTCTTGTTCTTCCTTGCAGCCTACATGGATTAACTCCAACGACAAGAACTCCAAAAGCTTATCTTCATCTTCGCTGAGCGTTGTGGTGCTCTCGATCAACAGCTTCCAACAGGGTCCTCATTCCTGACCTCGACCCCTTTGAAGCAGTAACGCACAAACCTCAATGAACTTGATGGCCTCTTGCACACGCATCGTGCAGCTCCTTGAGTATTCTATCAGCATCATTAGCCAGTTCAAAGGCAATGTTCCTGAAGCCCCTCAGCGAGACGATCATAAACCAGGTGCCAAACCGATCTACACTTGCTCTCAGATACCAAGCTTCTCCAATGCTGGCGCATCCTTACCTCTGCTTGCGTTGTGGCTTGCAACTGGCCGTTGAAATGCCGGTGTAGAGATAGCCTAGCTTCTTCTTACACTCGGGTGTGCATTGCCATGCCTCTAATGCCGCGTCCTGAACTCTATCATCTCAGTTTGAAGAAAAGCTTCACCTCCAGATCTTGCCTGTTCAGCCGCCGCTCCAGCACGCTTCTATTCTCTACCACCTTTCTGGCTATCCCCTCCCAGGATCCCCTTTGTTCTTCTTCAGCGCCCCTTGGCCATCATCAGATCTGATCTTTAGGGCTTGGAGTTTAAAGGGAGGAGGAAAAGCTACCAACTTGCAAAGCCTGATAAAGGTGTCTTCGAATATCACTTAGTAACCAGATGAGCTCCTGCCAAGTTCCTGGCCAAAGTTTTCTTTGTATGTCCAGGCACTGTTGGATTTGGTGTTCTTCCTTGGTCATCATCAGATCTGATCTTTCGGGCTTGGAGCTTTAGGAGGAAAAGCTTCTTCCACCACTTGCAAAGCCCACTGGCGCTGGCTGGGTTGATAAAGGTGTCTTAGAATATCACTTAGTAACCGGATGAGTTCCTGGCCAATGTTTTCTTTGTAACTACAGAGAGACCAAGTTTGCTGGATTCGACTATGCCCGAAGAGGAGTACGAAGTAGAGACAAGATTACCGGCCAAAGATTACCGATCCTGACACGATCTTCCGAGTTCCTCCTCCCACTGATCGCAAGAACGTCCAGGTCGCGTCTCTTTGAAGCCTTTAAGTTTCTTAGCGAACAATAAGTTTTACTACCTTTTCATTATAAAACTGCACTCTTCTTGATAACATTGCTCAGTTCTTGTAAAACACTCGAAACTTTAAGATTGCCGAAAGTGGCGGAATGAGCTTGTAGGTCCTAATCTGCGCATACCCCGACGCAAATCTGTAGGTTCCGGTGCCTCCAATCACTGCAAGCTCTCGGACTTCATCGAAGATGTTGTCTTGGCCGTGCATGCTCATCGTCCCATCCTTGAACACAGCCACAAATGTCAAGAACAAACCGGTTGTGGTGTTGGTGGAATCGTCGCTGATGTACGTCCCTTTGGCTCTCCCCACAATCTCGGAGTCACGGGAAGGGCCCTTGGTGAGAACATCGTCGATGACAAACACCGCTCCAAACTGGGCATTTTTGGGGCCTGCAACGAAAACCACTGTGGAATTGCTGGGATTGGTTAGGTCGACCTTGTCGTGGAAGTAGAACTCCAGCACTTTTATTGGAGTTGCATAAGAAAAAGCAAAAGCGAGAGAGACTGCGAGGAGCAAGAGCAAATGAAAGCCCTCCATTATTCTTGCTTGTCCACCGAGGTGAATGATTTATATTCTTCCGAATCATAGCACAAGCTATTCGTGCTGCCTTGGTTCTGAAGAAAAACAAAAGAGCTCGTCTATGAATATTGTAAGGAATCTAATTTCATATTTACGAATAACAAACAAATTCAAAAAAAATCAAACAAAGACAAACAAACGAAACACAGACACATGGCACCTTGTGATTGGCCAGAAACTGTTTAGGGCTCCAGAAAATTCAAGTGCATCTTCACCACTATGGAAATGGTAAACCAACCCTGGCCACTTGGCCACTTCAAGACAGTGAGAAGTCAGTGGGTGGCAATGGTGGAAGCATGATAGCTGAGCAGAGCAGCCAACAATCGAAGGGTAGCGATGGTGGGTGAGCAGGTTGCTGGGCATGGTGGGTAGTGGGAGAGCAACACTATGTGATGAGAGTTGAGAGGTGGGATGCTAGACACTGATAAAGGTGACCAGGGCATTGGATGTGTGCTAGGGCAATGCTAAAAAGCAAGTTAAGTTTCCCATTGCAGCAGCATGATACCTGGGCAATGCTGGACACTGCTGGTGAGCAAGGCATTTGATGCATATTAACCTTGTTTATTCTTGGCAGGGGCGAGGGCAGGATCAAATGTAGCAGTTGGCAAGATGCTTCAATCTCTTCCTTTTCCTTGGTCAGGGCTGGCATAGTGATGGGAGCTACAATGCTAGTTGAAGGTAAATCCCTTCCCTTTTTTATTTGGAAGAGGTAGTTATTTTTTTTCCTTCACAAGGAATCAGGTAGGAGCTGGAGCAAGGCAACCAGCTATCATGACAGGCTGGGATATATTGGGAGTTCCATGGAGAATGATTGATACCTTTCAGGTTTTCTTATTTTTAGCAATTTGTTAGAATACTTGCTTAGCTTTTGGCATTGTTGATGCTAGCACCTAAGTCAAGATTGGCATGGCAGCAAACTACACATAAAGAGCAACTGCCTTCCTCTGCAAGAGAGGGATTACATAGTCCTTGCAATATCATCAATAAGTTATTCCTTACTTTTCATGCATAGCTTTGTTGCCAATTCTTGTAGGTGGAGAAGATAGAAATAAAATAGGAGGAAGTCAATTAGACTCCAACTTTGATTTTGATTTTGAGTCATATGGTAGCAATAACATGGTAATTTCTAGTGTTGCAAAGATGGTATAGTGAACTAACTTTATTTATCTATTTTTTAGTCATAAAATTCCTAGTGTTAGCTAGTTTTAGTTGCCCAAGTTGTGCTATTATCCACCACTATCCAACAGCAATATATTTGTATCACCACACAATGTTGCCCTAAGCTATCCCATTGCCCACCATCGCTGCCCTCTGACTGCCCAGCTATCATGCTTCTACCATTGCCATTCAGCGATTTCTCACTGCCTTTGAAAGTGGCTAGAGTCAGCATTGATGGCCCATAGATGGTCCATTCTCACCCATTCCATCTCTATGAAGATGTAGCAAATATTCTGGAACCCTAAATAATTTTTCTACATGTCTATATTTATCTTTATTTGTTTTTTCTTAATTTAGTTTGCCTTCGCATTTTGTTCTTGTTTGACTTTGTTTAAATTAATATCACTTCATTTGACCTTGTTTGTTCTTATTTTATTTTATTTGATTTCATTTGTAATCTTCATTTATAAATTACACACCATATTTAACTCCTTAATATTTGTAAAATCTTAGAGATCTTTGTTGTAGCTTGAGAAGATGAGTTGACATAGGAGGAGTACTCAAACTGTTTGATTGCAGAAAAGTGATGACAACGCAATCCACCACCTTGGTCTCCCCAAGGGTACATGCAGTTTTTTGAGAATGTAAGTTTTAAAATGGAGATTTTAGTCATAAAAGTGTAATGGAGAAAGGAATAATGACTTCTATATTGAAAAAGGTGGTGGACATAAATGTGTTGGGAGGGGAATGGGATGGGATGGGATGTGTGAGGATGGAAAATGATTTTTGGAGGATGACTGGTTGGGAAATGGCTTTAGAATCTAAAATAGTGGCTATGTTCTAGATCATCTTTGGAAAGATTAGGGGAAAATTTAGAACAAAAAGGGCATGTCAACCATGCTAAACATGCTTCATTGTCCATAAGTCATACAAAACAAGCAAAAGAATTCTAATTAAAAAAGTAGTGATCAATCAAATTTAGGATTCATGCAAAAATAAAAAGCCAAAAAGCTTGATCCAATTCAACAATCAAGGAATTGAAAGGAAAAATAAAATATCTAGAGAAATATAAAAAATCTAAATTAAATAAAAGACTAAAGAGGTACTTAGCTTGAAATTAGCAAATCTTTTTATTTTTACTCTGGAACTCAATAATCCATGCTCCATATGGTGGCCACAGTTGAAACGTGAGGCATCCCATTGTGGTTGCAATATATTGCAATGGAATTTGCAACACTCAAAATCCAATCAGAAAACTCTATGTCTTACTGATGATGCCACTCAAAATTGTGTTATATCAAACACATGGAATAATCTTTGAGTATATTTAGGAATATCCCCAAATCATACCCAAGCTCAACAGCTGTCTAAGATTTAAAGCCATTCATTTGATAAAAAACTGCACTCCAACCAATTATCTCAACCATGGAGAACCAACTAATTAAACCTGTATAGAAGTACTAGATAATTGAATATGCTAGAATAAATTTGGATGTGCTTAAGAAATTTTATAAATTGACAACATGTTTATAATTAGATGGTAAAATATAGGTATATCCTCCCTGTCATAAAATTTTTGGATGTTTTGGGATCCAGTCTAACTACTCAGCAGTCAATGGTTGCAAATCGCTCTATGGTTAAAGACAAGGCTCTTCTCCTAGTCCTGTTCCAGTTGGGATTTAAAACATACTAATTAACAAACCTGCCAAAGCGATGTGTGCTTCTTTATATCAGTTTCTCTATGTCACAACGAAAATGTAATTGATCACTATTGTGAAGACCATTTAGCTTGAATCACACAAATAACGTGAAGAGTGGTTATTGGGCATGACTAGAAATCATGTGGTCTGCCCCCGCAGGTCCGAATCCATACTACCATAAACGGCAACGACAACTAAAACGATAAGAAAACCAAGAGCAGAAGCAGCAGGACAGGAGAAGTCTGCGAGATCAATGCTGAGCAGCAGCTAGAACACTGAGCAAAGCAACTTAAGCGCCAACAATATAATCATTAAAATCCAAAAGATACAAATATTCACCCAGCTTTGCTTACCAAGCTTTTAGAGTGCTGGACGCCAAAGGCCTTCTGATCTGATTGGAAGTAATCATCTTGAATGACCATCTTGGCGCCCATCTCAGTTCTTGTAAAACACTCGAATCTTTAAGATTGCCGAAAGTGGCGGAATGAGCTTGTAGGTCCTAATCTGCGCATACCCCGACGCAAATCTGTAGGCTCCGGTGCCTCCAATCACTGCAAGCTCTCGGACTTCATCGAAGATGTTGTCTTGGCCGTACATGCTCATCGTCCCATCCTTGAACACAGCCACAAATGTCAAGAACAAACCGGTTGTGGTGTTGGTGGAATCGTCGCTGATATACGTCCCTTTGGCTCTCCCCACAATCTCGGAGTCACGGGAAGGGCCCTTGGTGAGAACATCGTCGATGACAAGCACCGCTCCAAACTGGAGATTTTTGGGGCCTGCAACTAAAACCACCGTGGAATTGCTGGGATTGGTTAGATCGACCTTGTCGTGGAGGTAGAAATCCAGCACTTTTATTGGAGCTGCATAAGAAACAGCAAAACTGAGAGAGACCACCAGGAGCAAGAGCGAATGGAAGCCCTTCATTTTTCTTGCTCGTCCCTCCGAGGTGAATGATTTATTTTCTCCGAAATGAGAATACAGAATGAAATATTCAGAGTTTATAACGAAACATGGTATACTTCTATTCCTACAGATCATGGCTTTTAAAGTAACGATTATATACTTGTGATCGTGTGATCATGTAAATACAACTATAAATGATAGTGATAGATAGACAGTGATAGTAGAACGTGACAACCACAAAGAGCAACGTGCTACAAATCGAGACAGTACTCTAAGAGCTGCGGCAAAATGAAACGTACAAACATCTACGATAGTGAAACAATCAGAAGAGATAATCACACATTCGTGCTACATCGAAGTGAACAGATCTGCTAGCTGAGAATCGCAAACAAGTCAAGAGAAGTAAGAATCAACGCACAAACACAAGCAAATAACCTCTGACAAACTTGATGATAAACTTACAGTAACTAGCAGACGTGTGGAAATAAATGTGAATCCATAGCCTCACCCGGCTGGAGCGCGGCATCTATTCCAGCTTTGAGCCACACGTAGTGCATGGTACCTGCAGAGTGTCACTGAAAGCGGTAAAGAAGAAGCACGAAGAACAGCATCATTTATTACCGGGCCGGGGATCAAACTTGACGCTTTCGCCAACCCAGCGAGTGGCGTAGCCCCGTCGCCTTCCACTGGCTTCTCCAATCCCTGGAGCACCGTGGACAGCAAAGCTGTGGTGTATGAGGCAGTCTCCGGGCTCCATATCCCATTTAAGAAGCGTGAGCTGCGATGGTTGGATCTCAGATTGAGCGAACACGACCAATACCGATGAGAGATTTTCCTTGTATTTTTTACCTCGTCAAGCTTCTCGTCAATGTTAGGAATGTCTGGTAAGGAATCTGTCATGTCGCTCTTGTAGCGGTCTTCATCACCTGAGAAAGAAGCAATCCTGCAAATAGATACAGAACAGTGACACAGTGATTCGTTTTTGTTCTCAAGTTACCTGTGAAGAAGTCTCCACTTGTGAGAGCCTTTTACGTATTGGACGCAGGAGGATTCTGGGACAGGATCTAGAGCGAGCCAAACGGAGATAACTTGGTCACCGGAAAGCTGCCAATACGAGTGATCGTTATGCCAAGGTGTGGTGGTCCGAGTACCAGGTTCTTTCACGAGTAACTGGTCGTAGAAGAGCCTCGCGAGCTTTCCCCTGTGGCAAAAAAGGAAGAAACTATAACTCAAGGCCAAGAAGAAACACGAATAAAATGAAGAACCTCATCATCCCCTTCGCTATTTCACCAACAGGAGACTCAAAAATAAACGAGCGCATTGTGTTGTGACGAAGCCACAGAAATTGGTCGTCATGGAAACGTCCTGGCTGCAATAGTGTCAAGCCTTGCATAGTGTGAGATTGTACAAACCTCTCCTGGTTTTACATGTTCGTCGCACAAAGGACCTGAAGATCAAGAGCCATGAGCAAAAACTTTGATAGAACCAAAAAAAAAAGAAAGAAAGAAAGAAGAAGAAGAAGAAAAACCTCATAGAATCATAGAACTTACCTGGATTTTTCATGTTATTGTCAGCAGCAACACGAAGTTGTTCCACCCAGGACGAAGGGATGGCCTTCCGCAAGACAACAGCACCATCTTCTTCGAATTTTTTCACATCTTCCTCTAGAATCCTGTTTCAAGAGTTTCAAGAAGAAGTTGTTTCCATAGAAAATTGTCATCGTTCTCAAGAGTTTCTACGAAATCAGAAGAAAATTCTAACATGGTATTGTTCTTCATGTGATCACAAAATTAAAAACTAACACAATGCAAGGATTACTACCTCGAGGAAGCGTTCTCTGGCTGCGCAGCTCCAGACGCCAGTGACGAGAAATGGCGCTGGCGAATCCGCAGAGCGCGCCTCACGAGGGAGGCGCCGATCAAGCTGACGCTCATGTTAGATCTTCACGAGAAGAAAAGGAGTTCCCACAAATGTAGGGCATGAGGTTTTAGGGTTTGCGAGAGAGGGTTTTGGAGATGAAAGGAGAGCGCAAGTTCGCGATCACGTTCAGCCCGGAGTTCGTGACCAAGCTCCTCAATGAGGACGACAAGAAGGTAATCCCGGCCAAGCCGTTCACGCCATCTCCATCGCCACCGCCGCCGCAGCCGCGATCTCTCACACCGCCGCCTAGGCCGCCGCTTCACGCATTGCTGACGGCGCCACTCTCCTCACAAAAGCCGCCACAGCCTCCGCCCAAGAAGGAGGAGCAAAAGGAAGGAGAGATCGTCTCAAAGTCTCATTTGGATTTGGGATTGGATGCAAGGTTCGGTGCGTCTGATGAGGATGAATCCAGGGCTCGTGGTTTCGATGAAGATGGACCGGGCAAGGAAGTGGCGACAGAGATGGATAGACAGCAGCAGGATCTTCGCAAAGAGGAGATCGAGAAACAAGAAGTTGGCATGGAAGATCAGGATGTGAAGCCTGGTGACGAGACGAGAATCACTGCTGAAGTGCCCGCTGCTGCCGTCGCCAGGGATTTGCAACCTCTGATGGGAGTTCTCGAAAAAACTGTAAGTGGTTGTCTTCCTTTCTTTTTCTGGTTTTTTGTTTGGAACTTTTCTAGCGCTGGTATAGCTCGTCAATAGCTACGAGTGCGTGCATGGTTCCTAGATCAAAGGCCTCGGTTATTTCTTTAGCTGGGGCAGCGGCCAGACAACCGCAGAGCTTCTTTCACGGAGAACGCATTCCATCGTGGCAGTGTCTCTACTAAAACGTTGCTCACATTCTTTCCTTCCTTCCTGTTTGCTTGTTGCGAGTCTCCGGCTTTTCGAGGAGCTTACTTATTTTATGATTTGTGTTTCCCAGGAGAAGCACGGCGAGGAACTCCAGAAACGAGGTATCAGTGAGCTCGAAGAGATGAAGAAGAGAGCCGAAGAGCTACAACACAGGCACCGCAGCGAGTAAGTTCGTCTCTGAGTTTTTCTTTCTTCTCGTTCTTGGTTTAAATCTTCCTCGCTACAGCAGATCTGCGCCGAGAACACAACCTTGCGCTGCTGAGAAGGACGCATGCATCGAGTGCTACCAAAAACTGGTACTCTTCACTTTCGTCTCCAACGATTTCTCATCTTCCTCTACAGGATCCTGTGCGATGCAAAGCACAAGCCGATGCTTACGTGAGATGCACGGCTGCGGCATTTAAATCCACGGTCTCGTGAAAGGAAAGGGAAATCGAAGATCTCGGTCGGAAGATTGATAAGATCTATATAGAGTTTGTAGAAGAAGGATTTTTGCGTTAAAACCTTCTCTAAGTAGTTTTCGAGAAAAAGTCCGAGAATGCCTATTTGTTTTTAATTCAAATTAAGGGTTTAACAGTCGAATGACGGTCTAGGTCCTTGTTTGGTAGTCTAATAGAGCCAAACATTTTAATCCCCACTGCATATTCTGACATATATGGTGCATCATAAGGTGGTGGCGGGAGGATCTTGGACATTCCAGTAGGCCATATAATCTCGTGCAGGAGTGATAACGAAAAGCGTGCTAGCGGAGTATAAGCCCCCAAATATCAAGCCACCGGCAGCGTGCAAAACCCAGTTCATGTTGTGCTTCATGGCAACACAATCCGCTACTTCTTGTCCCGCTGGATCTATCAGTGAAGATCTGCAAATTCGGGTGATTCGATGAGATCCTTCCACTGCTTGCATGCGGCCCTCATGCGGGACTGGCCGATCTCTGGTCGGAAGAGAAGGAAATGGCAACTAACTAAGTCTTTATCTTTTTTATTCTCGTTCTCATAGAGTGATTGTAACGTAGTACGATATTCATGGAAGAACTGTGCCGGAAGAGAACGTATGCCCTAGGCAGTCCGTCATCTTCGTGTGTTATGGCATCGGTTCGATGCGGGAATATGGCAGTCCTGGTGGGACGCAAACATTACCAGTATTCGCAAGGAAATACGCAGCCTCGGGTTACGAGTGTACGTGGCTGACGAGAGCGATCCAAAGACAGCACGCACTCACTGCGAGGGCTTCTCTCGCCGTATACTCGAGAGATCTTCCCTCGGCTTGGTGTCGCATACGCGAAGCTGCCTTTCGACCTGGCAGAACAGAAAGATAAAGGAAGATTTCTGTGCTTTGCCGGTGGGCGAGTGTTCATCGATGGGAAGGAAGCGATGTCTGCCGTAGCAGGCACGAACTTAACGACAAGTCTTGGATCGATGCTGGAGGACACTTGGTAGGCCAATATGGCTTTTAGTCTATGCGCTGTTGCAAAATTAAAGTATTGTTAAAAAATTGACATATCACTAGAATCTAGAAAGCAATTGCTATTAAAGAGAATGAAAACCATGACATTGGGGGAAGACCAGCATTGTAACCCTCCTCTCAAGCGGGAGTTTTCATGAGCCCGGTTGTCACGTAAAAACTATTCGCCAAGGCTTCTTTGGAGGCACGTTTGCTGGAGAAGGCAAAAGCACAGGCAGAGGATGCCAAAAGCGATGTCTGCAAAGTCGATGACCATTTGTACTTTGAGCCCGGGATGAAGTATTCTGTCAGATGGCATGGACTGGATCGTACTCCATTGCGTGGAGACTGCAGCAAAGCACTTGAAGCTCAAGGCCGCTGTAGAAGCAAAGGTGGTGGAGAGTTGGAAAGACGTTAGGTGCAGATGACCACCACCATTGGTAAAGATGGTTGTCTTAAAATCGTTGGAGCCACGCAGAAGAACAACGAAGAAACGCTGTGTGTGACCGTGAAAAAGTTGGTTTCCACTTCTCTGTGGTGCATAGTGCTCTCGGTGGAGTGGGAGGGCGAGCTCTGAGCTCGGGCCAAACAGGGCGGAAAGGCAAGGCGAGATGTCCAGCCTGGACGGGAATTGCAGCTGGCAGGAATGGTTTCAGGTGCTGTGCCGCCAGTGGCTTGATCATCAGGCCGCTTTTCCAGTGGAAGTAGCTGGGATCAACAGGCCAGCGATGCTGATATGAGGCGCAGGTGTCTCTTTGGCGGATCCGGAGAGTGCTAGCATCTCTGATCAGGAAGTTTACGAGATGAGCAAGCAGCTGTCCAGGACTTTCAATGTTTCTGAGATTGTCCACAACGAGCTTCAAGGATGGAGTGTATAGTCTGACCGACTGGCGAGGCGAGGGGCTGAGTGCTCTCGCGAAGCTCGTGGATGAGGCTTGGCCAAGAGCCTTGGCCACCGCCGTGCCTCCAAGGCTGGTTGTGGACTGGGCTGTTTGCGGGGACAAGGCTTTGTTGGGGGTACCGCTGGAGGAACTGGTCGATAGCTTGGAGGCGCTGCTATACTGCTGCTTGCTGCTGCTCAACAAGAAGCTGCCGTGGAGTGAGGCGGCGCTTCCAAGACGCAGTGGCAGCCGATTGTTGAGTCGAGGTTGGAGACTAAGAGATGACATGAAGCACAGGTTCACCATTTTGGACGCGAAGAAAGTAATTAAACCTTTAAGATGTGTCAGAAAGCTCCAAGATCCCTTTTACAGTACGTATCAATCATTCATAAGTACCTTTGGAGGATAACTTTTGCAGAAGTTTAGGGCAGGAAGTTTAAAGTTTTAACCTCTCGATATTTTTACCATTTTTGTCACGGGACCCTGTGGATGCAAATCACTCTGCGGCGTTTACATCGTGAAGAACACCAGAAAAGAACAAGGAAAATCGAAGATCTCGGTCGAAAAATCGATAAGATCGCCATACAGTCTCTCTCGAAGGATGTAGAACCTTCTTTGTTTTCTGTTCTCCCACGTTGAAGGGCGTATCTCTCTTTAGGGTGAAAATTAATATCATGTTTGCGTGCATGGACGCGAGGCCATTAGGTACCACACAAAGTTTTAGCGCTAGCAGCCGGAAGGCGGTGGCATCTTTGATGGATTTCTAGGGCGCGCATCCACTCCGCGGATCGCTCGAGGTGAGATTGTGGCCGCCAGCGGCCAAATCGTCCATCGCCGGGGTTCTTGAAGGGGTTATCGATGAATCAGGGCAGATTTTGCAACTAGAGCGATCGATCGACCCCCCGAGAATGCTGCGCCGGCGGAAGCAAGGCAATGACGAGGATGGAGGAAGCAAGGATCGGCAGCAGCAGCAGGAGGATGGTAATAGCGGCAGCAATGGCGAGAATTCCAAGCAGCAGCAGCAGGGGGGAAAGGATTCCATCAAGATTGGCAAGGATGAGAAGGGGAAATCTAGCATGGTGCCTGGAATCCCCGTTCGAGCTCGCGAGAAGCCAAAGTGGCGCTGCCTGGATACATGCTGCTGGCTCATCGGCTATATGTGTGTCATGTGGTGGCTCTTTCTGGTGCTCTACAATGCGGTCCCTTCGCTGCCACAGTACGTGACCGAGGCTATCACAGGGCCATTGCCGGAGCTTCCCGGGACAAGGCTGGCCAGAGAGGGGCTCCGTGTCAAGCACCCCGTTGTTTTTGTTCCTGGGATTGTCACGGGTGGCTTGGAGCTCTGGGCTGGACGTCCTTGCGCGGAAGGATTGTTTAGAAAGCGACTCTGGGGTGGAACGTTTGGAGAAGTCTACAAAAGGTTCGAGTTTTTTTTTTTTTTTTGTTGGTTTTTGTTTGTCTCTCTCGTGAATGTTTGATGAAGTTCTTGCTTTGTTTTGTTTTGGCAGGCCTTTGTGCTGGCTGGAGCACATGAGATTAGACAATGAGACTGGCTTAGATCCGGCCGGCATTCGAGTGAGAGCTGTGTCCGGCCTTGTGGCTGCTGATTATTTTGCACCGGGATATTTTGTGTGGGCTGTTCTTATAGACAATCTGGCTCGGCTGGGATACGAAGAGAAGTCAATGCATATGGCTTCCTACGACTGGAGGCTGTCCTTTCAGAATACAGAGGTGAGTGTGGCGACTGTTCTTTCTCTTTTTCTCTGCTGATATTTTAACGGGTTGCTTTTTTTTTTTCTTGTTGGCAGAGTCGTGATAAAAGCTTGAGCCGGCTGAAAAGCACCATTGAGCTTCTCGTAAGCACGAACAACAACGAAAAGGTGGTTGTCATACCGCACTCTATGGGGGCGTTGTATTTTCTACACTTTATGAAGTGGGTGGAAGCGCCGATTTCTGCAGGTGGTGCCGGTGCCGGCGAAGGCTGGGTTGCAAAGCACATCAAAAGCGTGATGAACATCGGTGGCCCTTTTCTGGGCGTTCCTAAAGCATTCGCTGGTCTGTTCTCCGCTGAAGCGAAAGATATAGCTGTTGCAAGGTATTATTTCATTTTCTTTTTCCACGTTTTATCGTCTTGTATTTTGTATCCAGAGCTGTCGCACCAGGTGTTCTTGACTCCGAATTGTTTGGACTACAGACGCTGCAGCATATAATGTCAGTAACTCGTACGTGGGATGCTACGATGTCGATGCTCCCAAGAGGAGGGGAGGCAATCTGGGGAGATTTGGATTCATCGCCAGAAGAAGGATACGATTGTTCAGGCAAGAAGCCGAAGGTCGAGGAAGTTACCGAATGCCAAGAGAAGAACATAACGGATGGGAAAGAGCTGGGACCGCATGGAAAGCCAATGGCACACTACGGGAGGATGGTATCTTTCGGAAAAGATTCAGTGCAGAAAGCTTCTTCTGCTCTCGATAGAAAGATTGACTTTAAGGTACGCTGTTGTTTTACACCTTTCTCATTGCATGCTAATGCTCCCTTTCAACAGAATATAGATAAACAAACGCCCGTGCGAGAGAATGTCTCGTGCGGAGACGTGTGGACGGAGTATCACGAGATGAGCTGGGAGAGCGTTCAAGCCGTGGCCGATGGCAAAGTGTACACATCTTCGGGGATGCTTGATGTTTTGAGGTTCGTGGCACCGCAAATGATGAAGCGAGCTGATGCAAACTGGGCTTACGAGATTGCTGACGACCTTTCGGATCCGAAGTACCAGCATTACAAGTACTGGTCAAATCCTCTCGAGTCGACGTAAGTGCTTATTTCATCCTCGTTGTCTCTCCTAAGTTTGTTTTTCTTGTTTCCAGACTGCCAAACGCCCCGGACATGGAAATCTTTTGCATGTACGGTGTCGGTATCCTGACCGAGAGAAGCTACGTCTACAAGCTATCGTCAGACAACGACACTTGCTACATCCCGTTTAGAATCGACGCATCGGCCGAGAAGGATTCGGAAGGATGTCTGAAAGGCGGAGTCCACTTCGTCGACGGCGACGAGACGGTGCCAGTCCTCAGCGCAGGCTTCATGTGTGCCAAACCTTGGCAAGGCAAGACTCGCTTCAACCCAAGCAACATCTCCAGCTTCACCAGGGAATTCCAGCACGCTCCTCCGGCGAATTTGCTCGAAGGCCGCGGCACGCAGAGCGGCAGCCATGTCGACATCATGGGAAACTTTGCGCTGATCGAGGATGTTCTCCGGGTTGCCGCTGGCGCGTCCGGCCGGGACCTCGGTGGCGACAGGGTCGTCTCGAATCTTCCAAAGTGGTCGGAGCGAATCAAGCTGAAACTCTGAGACTTCCACAAGAGACCCTTTGCTCGAAGGTCTCATCGATTCAAGTGGTGTAAGAAGCACTTTCATCGAGGATCCGAAAGTATGAATCGAGTTGGAAACTTCGGTAGTTCCCAACTTTCCTGTAGTATCCCCTCTATATGGTGGAAGAAGCTCTTCATCAAAGTATGAATTAAAGTTGGAAACTTTGATAGATACCAACTTTTCTGTAGTAATATCACTCTATATGATTAGAGAGCAAATGTGAGAACTCAATCACACTTGTAAGGTTAAGGCTATGAAAGTTACATATACCACGAGAAGCGCTTGGAACAATGCACGACGGCACTGTACGGCACCGCCAGAATATATTGGGCCGATACCGGCACCACCGCCTCCACCGCCACCACCGCGCGGTACCACGTACGCGGCCTCGTGCGGGAGCTGCTATAACGAGTCGCACTGCGCGGGGGACATAGAGATGGTGCTCGTACCGCGGTCGTACACCACGTGGTAGTTTTGCTGCATGAGATTCCCTATGATTCCCAGCCCGAGGCTACCCGAGCCGCCCATTGCCAGGCACGCCACCGTCTCCGCCGTGTCGACTATCACGAAGTAATTCTTCTGGGGGGGTGAAAACTTCGTGCCCTTGAACGCCAGCGTGAGCGCGGGAAATTTGAAGTTTTTACTCTTGGACACGTCATAGCAGAGGTCAAAGCCCGAGCTGGAGGCATCGACGGTGGGGAGCGACACTGAGCTGGCAAACGCCGATTTGACCTTGGAGTAGACCGCGTCGTCCAGTAGCGTCAGCGTCGTACCGCTGTCAAAGATGGTACCGCCGGAGTTTACCTCTAGGGCACGGACGCGCAGCTTCTTCTTGCTCCTCACGGACAGGAAGTCGATCGCGCGCGTCGCCAGGGAGAGCTGCTTGCCGCCGACGCTGATGCCTTCCAGCCCCACGAAGTAGTACGTCGATCGCCCGGAATTGGGGATGATTGGAGTGGAGATCGCGCCAGAGCCCGTGGATGCCGAAGAGCCGAAGATCAGGGGGCTCGTTTTGGATGAATCGTCGTCGAAATCGACGAGGCAGTAGGAGAATTTGTTGTTGATCGCCGATCCCAGCTGCGTGGAGAGCGAGATTTTGCCCTGGCCGAGCCCCACGATCCCAGCGGCACCGCCGAAGGAGCCGGAATTCAATCGCCCACATCCGAATTGGAAATTCGGGAATGCCTTGGAGCTGCCACCGCTGGATCGCAGCGTCAGCGTCTCCAGCGCGAAATCGCCCTGCGTGCTCGAGGAATCGCCGTATTGGTAGCCATAGATGCACGTCTTGGCGGAGGAGCTACAGCCCGACGCTGGGAGGCTCTGGCAGCTCGATGTGGAGCACGATGTCTTGGCGAAGGTGGAACTGGCGGATGGATCGTAGATGGGATCGCTCTGACTGTAGCACTGCGAGCACGGCTTGCACTGGATCCACACGAGATCGCTGCCAGTGTCGACGATCGCGTTGAATTTCTTGGGTGGGCTGCCCAGCTCGATCTCCATGGTGTAGGCGCCGCTGATCGACGCCACTGGCGACTGGTAATCAAGCTTGGTGGGCGTGATCTTCTCGCTCATCCTCTCGGCCAGGGCCTTGGCTCTGGCCTTGCTGCGGTGGACGGCGTCGCGCAATCGCTCGGCGCGGGTGGAATTGGCGGCGTGGGTCGACGATCGGCGCACCAGGCTAGCGCGGAATCCAGGAATTGTCGAGGATTGGGAAGGAACCGCCGAGGATTTGGAGGAAATCGTGCTGCTCATCGACCCCTGCTCTACAGAGTGTTCTTGGTGGGCGAGGAGCTTCCGGCGCATGTGTTCCTGGTGGCCGCTCGCTATCCCCGACGATCGCTGGCGCTGGGGCGTGAAGTTGTGGACGTGAATCCTCGGCACCGCCGCGAGCAGCAGCGTGGCGACGATGAGCAGCAGGAATGCGTAGCTGAGGAGCGCCAGCGCAAAGAATTTGGCCGACGCCATGGGGAATTCCCTTTGCTCGCTCGATCGACCAGCACGAGCGATGGATGGATGGAGGGATTGATCGCCCACGAAGTATCTTTATGGGGAATTGGCCGTCTGGGCGGAATGGAGGAAGAAAGAGCGTGGTTTAAGTAAAGGGCGGATGAGGAGGGTCTTTCTCTCTTTTTTTTTTCTCCTCCTTCCTTTCTTTCAATCTTTCTCTATCGAGGGGAGATCCATAGCTTTCCTCTCTCTCTCTCTCTCTCTCTCTCTCTTTTGGTAGCGCTAGTAGGCCACGCAAACACACAAAGGGATGGTGGTGTGCGTCTGCGTCGAGTGAGGTGGTCAATGGGACCCAGCATTTTCTACCAATCTTGTTACAACTCCCATTTTGATCCAACATAAAGGTTCTAGACGATCTTAATTTCTCTTTTTCTTTATAAAGAGCCTGTATCAAAGCTCTATGATCTAGTCAACCACGGGTTGGAATCTTTTTGATTTCTACCTTCTTTTTTCTAAATTTTACTTTCCATTTTTTCTAATTTATGGGATGTACCAAAGAGAATTGGCTCCAACTCATGGATGGGAAGCTTCTTCTTTTTTTTTTATGTTTTGATTTCTACTTTTGATTTCATTTTTTGTTTTAAAATTGTTATTTATGGGATGGAATGGCAGTATGATTGATGGTACTTGAATATTCCAAGTGGCGAAGCCGTAAGCAGTCGCCTTTGCGAGCGACATGGCACCGAATGTTTTTTCTCGAGACGAGGACGCGCTGCCAAATTCTCGCGTTGTGGAGAGCAAGCAGTGAAGTGTACAAGGAACCACCATAGAGAATTGAGTGATATTCATTAGAGACCAAGGTCTTGGAGATAAAAAAAAGTATAGAAATCGATGACAAGCGCATGGACCCATCTCCAAGTTCGCTCGCCTCTCGAGCTAGATCCAAATGCTGCTGCTCGAAGAGACGAGGACAGCACACGGGCATCCAGCAAACCGCGACGAAAGCGAGCGATTCCAGATTGAGACTAACCCCACAAGCAAATCGCGTCCGCAAAAAGCTTTGTGATATGTGTCGCGTCTGAAAAGGAGAGGAATGACACACACAAAAAAAACTATAACCATCTGAGATTGACACGAAAAATCTACAACTTTCAAGTGTAAGATAAGCACTGTAGCGAAAAACGCACGCGTTCCGAAGTGGAGGAAACACTTCGCAAGCACTAAAAAGTCACTGGCTAATGAGGTGTCTCACGAAATGCACTAAAAATTCACTAGCTAATAAGATCTCTCACGAAATGCCAACTTGATCTTACCCGATATGTTATTTTGATCAATCCCTCCAGCGATAGCCGCAATTGGGATTACAGCATACGAAAAATAGCGTCATCCCTTCCTCACCCCTCGCTGTTGCCTGATAGAGACAACAACGTAAGAACAATGTAAGAAAAAAAGAGGAGAGGATCTGGAAACTTTTTTCTAGTGTTGATTGATCTCTCTCTCTGTTTTTCTTTTTTTTTTTGTACCTGGAAGAAGACTGCTTCTCCATGCTTGCATCGCGAGCATCGCACATCCTTTGTGCGGGGAAGCGTGGGATCCGACGCAACATCTTGGAGAACCTGCGTTCTCTCATCGGCTGTGTGATGAACTTCGTTCCGATACACGCAATTGTTGTCGGCAGCCTCCTACAAAGTGGAATCCCAGAATTTGGGACAACAAAGTTTCAACGATTTTTCAAACCAAAGGAAGGATTGGAAGGAAAAAAGAGAGAGAGAGAGAGAGAGAGAAGAGGGTCCTACCTGGTGATCGCAGTTGCGACAAGCGTACAGGAGCAGCTTCTGGTCACGATCCTCTTTCGGGTACAAAATATTATTGCTGCAAAGAAAAGAATTCGCGACGAAGAAACGGAGCAATTCACACCGAGGAAGAAATGAGCAAGCCACACCCAGATTACGCGCACGAAATCTAGCTTACTGCTCCAATTTAATGAAACTTAGATGCTCACAAGCTCATGAAAAATAGATGTAGGGAGAATCCATGCTGATGATCTAAATGCCAGAAGCTGGAAAAGAAAGCGTACCACTCGCGGCAGAACTTCATGGTACTCATTGTTGGCGCTCCTGTAGCTCGCTTCTTCCTCTAGAGAATGACCTAGGGCTCTTCCAAGCACGCGCGATTTATGACACGTGGACGGAGGCTGCTCTGCCACGTCAGCTTCACTGCGTGTTTGCCCTAATTCCCAACGGCAGAAAGGACGCGTCCCTTCAGCCCTAAAAATGCGGGGGATCGTTTTTTAGGGTTCTTGGGATGCGCAGGGTCGATCTTCCTCCCTAGGGTTGGATCCGATCCATCGGGCACGCTGGAGTGCATTCGCGGCGTCCTCAGCAGCTGCGGCTGCGATGGCGGCCTCGGATTGGGGCTCGCGGGACAGGGCCCCTTCAAATCCGTGCTCGACGGCGACGTCTTCTGCTACTACGCCGACGGCGAATGGAAGACTTCGTCGTCGGGGAAGTCGCTCGCGGTTCTCAATCCTTCCAATGGAAAGACGCAGTACAAAGTGACTGGTAAGCTAAATTCCTCGTCCTTTTTCTTCTATGGCGAGAATGTAGTGTCTAGCCCTTTTTTCATTCCTTTTTTTTCTTTTGCATTAAATCCCTGCATTTCTCTAGGATCTAAAGGTCGGTCCAGTCCGGAAACATAGAAAGGAACTTTTTCTAAGGAAAAGCCAATGCTCTCTACTACAGCTTGTACGAGAGATGAGGTGAATAAGGCCTTCCAGAGTGCTAAGAAAGCACAAAAGGAATGGGCAAAGGTGCCCCTGTGCAAGAGAGCCGAGTACTTGTACAAGGCTGCCGCTATTCTAAAAGCGCACAAAACTCCCATTGCCGAGTGCTTAGTGAGAGAAGTTGCCAAGCCCGCCAAGGATTCAGTGACCGAGGTCCATCACCTTTTCTTTTCTTTTCGTGTGAGTGTCTTCTCAACTTTTTGTGCTGTTCTATAGGTGGTGCGCTCAGCAGATCTTATAGTTTACACTGCTGAAGAAGGCATACGTATCCTATCGCAAGGAAATTTTCTAGTCTCCGATTCTTTTCCCGGGAATGACAGAAACAAGCTTTGCTTCACATCGAAGGTAATCAAAGATTTGTCTCGTTTGTGTTTTTCTGTGCCGCGACACTTCTTAGGCTCTTTCGTTTGTATTCAGTGCAGGTTCCTCTTGGGGTTGTTCTTTGCATTCCTCCGTTTAACTATCCAGTGAACCTGTCTGTATCCAAGCTCGGCCCGGCTTTGATTGCTGGAAATGCAGTGGTGTTGAAGCCTCCAACTCAAGTATGACGTTCATCATCTCACGGGACTCTCGACTTTTTCTTATTTTGTTTTATCTCTCGCAGGGAGCTGTCTCCGCTATTCACATGATGCATTGTTTCCACTTGGCTGGATTTCCAAAGGGATTGCTCTCATGCGTGACGATAAAGGTCTCTGAGCTTGGTGATTACCTGACGACACATCCCATGGTGAATTGTATCAGGTGCGTGAATCATCCCTCAGGAACTTTACACTCAGCCTTGACTTATGTTATTGCAGTTTTACAGGTGGATGCGAAACTGGAATCTCCATTTCCAGAAAGGCAAACATGGTCCCGCTACAAATGGAGCTGGGTGGCAAGGACGCGTTTATTGTTCTTGATGATGCAGATCTTGAGGCTGCTGCTACGAATGTGATCAAAGGTGGCTTTGCTTTTAGGTGCGTTTTGCAGAGTTTTTCTCTTTTTTTATTCATGGTTTTGTTGTTCTCGTGTAGCGGGCAACGGTGCACGGCAGTTAAAGTTGTGCTGGCTCAAGAAAGTATAGCGGATACTCTAGTGAGCAAAATCAACGCCAAGGTCGGAAAGCTCACGGTCGGGCCACCAGAACAGGATTGTGATATTGTTCCAGTCGTCAGCGATGCTTCAGCCAACTTTATCGAGGGGCTTGTGAGCGATGCAAAGCAAAAGGGTGCAAAACTATGTCAGGTACCATACTATAGACTACAGCATAGCAAACATTCCTTCGACTCAATCATTCTGTTTTGCTTGTTCCAACCAGGATTGGAAAAGGCAAGGAAATCTCATCTGGCCTATTTTGGTAGACAAAGTGAAGCCCGAGATGAGAATAGCGTGGGAAGAGCCGTTTGGTCCAATTATCCCAGTGATCCGAATCAAGACGCAGGAAGAAGGCATCAAACATTGCAATGCGAGCAGATACGGGCTCCAGGTTCGCTAGGAAAACTATACTTTTTGGAAAGTTTCTAACTATTTCGTTGTTTTTCTAAAATGCAGGGGTGTGTTTTCACCCAGAGTCTTGACAGAGCGATGCAGGTGAGTGATGCTATGGAAACTGGAACCGTTCAGATCAATGCTGCACCAGCGAGAGGACCGGATCACTTTCCATTCCAGGTTTTGTAGAAACACTCTAGAGTTTCGCGGTGCTTAAGAGAGCTCCTTGCAGGGTGTTCGAGACAGTGGCATTGGGTCGCAAGGGATCACAAACAGCATCAACATGATGGTGAAAATCAAGACGACTGTTATGAACTTGCCATCAAACTCGTATACCATGGCTTGAGAGAACCAAAAGGTTTGCGAATGTTGACCAGCTAAAACTTTTCTCTTATCACACATAGTTTACATGCGAACAAAACTTCCGAAGAGGTTGCAATGATCAATGATTCATCAAGTCGAGAGACGAGCCACCATCCTCTCGACCAAGTAGAAACCAGCGAACACCCAAGTTTTGCGCAGAGTATGTCATGAACACCGCGAGCACCATCCCCGCTCCAACAAACGTTCCCACCCTGTTGAAGAAAAACTTTCTCGTCATTGATTCTCGCCAGAAGCTTTGTTTACCTCGCAAACATGGCCGTGATTCCGAGAAGAAACGGCAAACAGGGAACCAGGAGAGTCAGAGCAGCCATCCCAAAGCCATACGACGTTGTTTCCATGTCCCAAATCGACGCTTGCTTAGAGTGACCTGCTACGGAAAATGAGCGTCTCGCTCGCGAGAAGTGCTTTACCTTTGTATGGCGGCGAAGATGAGCTTGACGTGGATTTCCCCCAGTCGTAAAGAAGGCCGAGGAACGTTCCAAAGCTGAGCGAGAACAGAAAAATTGTCCACTCGTAGAGAAGTAGCATTCCGGTCCATGGCATCACTTGACGGGGAATAAGGTGAAAAGCTGCGCCAGCTGATAACAAAGCCAGCACAAAGCAAACGACGATGGATATGAGAGCAATGTGCTTGGTATGGCCATTCTGTAAACAAACACGACCGCTTCACGTTAGTTTCACGCTAGAGGAAAAGTACCTGGTAGTTTGCACCGTTTCCAGCAGCCGAAAGAACACCCAAAACTGTCCTGTACAATCGAAACTGCCGCATCCATCCACAGAGGGAGGCATTGCAAAGAGGAGTACGAACGCCCTGGGAATAGCTTATCTAGTAAAAACCCGAAAGTATGAAAAGTATAAAGCTCACATTTGGAGGACGACGTCGGTACCAAATCAGTAACGCCACAAGGAAAACTGGAAGGACTGAGAGCACACCGACGACGAATCGGTCGTGTGGAACTAGTCCCCCGCCCGTGCCTGGCAAAGAGCTCTTTAGAGACCTCCGAATGTCCTGCGAAGAGGCTTAAGTTACAGACTTTTAGATGAGATGAGCGTTTCCAGATTACCTGCCATAGATCGACTGGCTTCAAAAGCCACTCGGTCCACCAGTCCCAAGGTTTTAGAGGACCGAGAGTGTAGTGAACAACGCGTAATTGGCTTCCATCAACCATCCACTGCAAGAGTTAAAGCTCGTTAACGACATGAAGAAAAGAACGTCCGAGCGAGTACCTACTTTATTTGCCAGTACGTAAAGCCCGACGTCGGCATTGTAGAGGGTCGAAAGTCGCTCCATTTGCCGCGGTGTTCTTTGATCTGGCTTGAGATTGGGATCAAAGAGCTGTGCATTGGGAAAGTCGGGGTAATAGGAGTTGAGGAAACCTTGATCACCTGCGAGCAGCGATGATAAGTTTGTAAGAAAGACAGTTTTTCTTCTAGACGAACCTCCAGTGTACGAGGGGAGCGTACTAACTTTCTTAAGCATGTCGTCGAAGAGTTCTGCCGAGGGCTCTACGACCATCACCCCGGAGTTGAGACGCTCGGAATGTTTGAGATTGGCACAAAACTTCTGGCACTGGAAAAGATCCTCAATGTCTTTTACGACGATTGTATCAGCGTCCAAGTATACAACTGCCAGAATCCCATTTCAAAGACAGAAAAAAACGAATAGATCACACACCTTTCTGGTACTGTGTCATGTTAAAAATCTTGAGCTTCGTGTAGACTCCCCAGAACCTCGCTGGGCGTTGCTGGTTGGGATTTGAGAGCAATTCGATTCGTTCCACAATCCATCCATCAGCCTGCTCAAAGATAAAAATTAAAATGCCATCCAACTTACCAGACAAAACTAAAAACTAAAAAAGAGAACTTACTTCCAGAAGCCTGATCGCATCCATGGAGACACCGTCGGACACAAGAACTGCCAAATCCTTGCTCGTTCCCGTGTCACGAATGGATTTCCCAAGGACGCGCACTCCCAGCAAGAACTCGTCGCCATAGAGCAGCGTCACGTATGCCTGCGTCGATCGCGGCCTCTTCGGCTCCCAGATCTTCTGGTGGACGCCAAACGCATCCGCGACATTCTTGATCAAGGCCGCAATGCAGCACAGCGACGCCAGAAGAATCAGCGCCCTCATCCCTAGCCTTGCTTGGCTCTCCTAAAATTCCATTCCCCGTCTACTCTGTTTCTAGGGTTCTTGATCCTAGGGCTGAGTCATCCATTTTAAAACAAGATCGCATCTAGGGTTTTTAGAATTAGGGTTCTTGGCCGCCATAGTTAGGGTTCTTGCGCTTTGTGCGTTTTGTGCGATGATTCTACCCAATTCCTCGTTCTGATTCGCCGATATGCGGCCTGTAGACAGAATCGAAGATCGCAGTTTCACTATGAGCACCCGTCTCGGTTCGTTTTGGGAGTTTTCCAGTGATGACAGAAATTTTTCTTTCATATCCATGCTAATTCTGATATCTGTGATGGAATTTTCTGTGACTGAGGATACTGCATTCGTGCGATGATGATTGGATTTTCCAGCTCACTCTGAGAAGATCGGTGAAGTTGATTCATCCCAAAAATCCTGAGCACTTTTTTTTGTTTTCCTTCTTGGGTCTCTTGGTATTCTTCCTCTTTTGCGCTGATGACCTCTAGCTTTTCATTGTTCCATCTCTGACCCCCCTGATGGAAAAAAAAAAATCGCTAAAAGAGTCTCTGAGCGAATGTTTCTATCCTCCACTTTTATTCTCGCGTGCTGTGATTACACTGCTGAGAGAAGAATCTGAGCTCCAAAGCAATGAAGCTTCTTTTCCACCCATAGAATCTGAGCACACGAGCTTGAAAAGTCCAAGATGCCATGGAAAAGAAATCGAATGTGTGTTATACTCGGGTACCCTGTAGCTTGTCGTATAGCCCAGTCAAAGTTCTTTTGCGGATGCTTCAAATTCGTCCGTGCGCCGTCCACTGAGGCAAAGCTGATGGTCTCGTGATTTCTATAATCCGCACGTCATGAGAATGACAATCAAATAAAAGGATGAGTGAGCTCACGATTTTTACTGGCTGAAGCTCTGGCCACGTTTATGACCGCTGCGCGCCGCGCTCGAAGAGGAAAAAGAGGCCGAGCACTCAAGTTTTTTTAGCAAGCAAACTTTGACGAGGGGTTGGATCACAGCCAAAGATATCAAAGCGAAAGGCCCCACACCTTGTTCGTTTTTTGCTGCGGACGAATCTGCGGCGGAGTCGTGTGACGAGCACCGCCTCTCAAAGTGAAGCTTGTCGAGATCGACGCTGCCATTCCAATCCAGCACGCCTCTCGCTCTCTCGGCTGCGTGGCCACTAGAAGCAGCAGATGTTGTCCGCTGAGATGAATACCAGGTGATTCACAGCGCGTGAGATGTTTTTTGTCGGATTTCACGAAGACATCCTGCGTGCGAGAGAAAAAGCCCACACCTGTACAGAAAAACAAAACACCATAAAAACTAAAGTTTTGCAAGATAGCAATGGCTTACCTAAGTTCGTGTGCCTTGTATGTGAATCCAGCAATGCAGCAGTGGAACTGCGACGATCAAACGCTACTTCCGTCGTCAAAGTTTGGCAGTATTAGAGCACGCTTGCAAGCGAGTTTAGCCAAAACGAACCTTTGCTGACGGGGTCCCCGAAACATAATTCAGATGAGCACAGTGAGCGAGATATGCACGCCAGCATTTTTTGGATCCCGCACCACATCCATCCATCACATAAGCGCTTCCTGCCAAGAAAATCAAATCAGATAAATATCCGTCAAAGTGAATGAAGAGACACCAAAAAAATCAAAAGCAGAACAAAAACCACCGGAAAAATAAAGAACCGTCGAACTCAAGAACATAAGACAAGGAAAAAAAACACGCGAAATCGAAAGAACGAATGGAAGGAAAGAAAAGATTTACCGGAAATGGAAGACGATCTCGCCTTTCGGGACGATAGCACGGATTTGTGATGGGCTCGCTTTGGCCCACTCGCGCGAAGCAGTGCGAGCGGTGAGCTTCCCTTCTCGTCCAAAACATCTTACGTGTCGATCATAGGTGTCCAAGGGGGGACCCGAGCTCCCTCTTCTCAGCACGACAGCTGGGCCTCTAGTCCCTCTCAGATGCTTCCTTTGGAATTTGGCGCTTTACCCATGCTTCGCTCATCTCAAGCTGACACCACCACCACCTCCTTTTCCTGCTCCCCTCTCTCTCCTGAACTTCTCCGAGTGACAAGGATAAGTTTTCATCCGCAGAGAAGGAGCACTGCTCACTCGTCTTTGCTTGCAGAGTCTTTTCCTTTCCCACCCACCGCCCTGGTTGAAAGTCATGGAGATTCATTCACCGCCCTGTGCGCCTAGCATATGATCCGTATCTGCCCCCAGATCTCACTCCGCAAATCCCCGCAGCTTTCTTCCTGCCTCTGCCACCGGAGTTCTACACACTCCCGCCTTCTTCATACTTCTCCACGAGTTTCCTGACTGCCATCATGGAAAGAAATGTGAATCCTTCGCAAGTTGCAGCTCCTGGAGGCGGAGGAGCAGCGTCCCCAGCAGAAGCAGTGGCCACACCTGTGACAGTTGCTGTTCCACCAGCAGTTGCCGAGCTCCAGCTCCCCCCTGGATTCCGGTTCCATCCCACTGACGAGGAGCTCATGGTGCACTACCTCTCCAAAAAGGCCGCTCCTTCGCATCCTTTCACTGCTCCAATTCCCATAATTGCCGAGGTGGACTTGTACAAGTTTGATCCCTGGGACCTCCCAAAGCATGCATTATTCGGCGAGCGCGAGTGGTACTTCTTCAGCCCCCGCGAGCGTAAGTATCCCAATGGTGCTCGTCCCAACAGGGCGGCTGCATCTGGCTACTGGAAGGCCACCGGCACGGACAAGCCGATTTGTAGCTCCACTGACGGCCGCAAAGTTGGCGTGAAAAAGGCCCTCGTCTTCTACAAAGGCAGAGCGCCGAGGGGGGCGAAGACCAACTGGATTATGCACGAGTACCGTCTAGTCGACAATCCCCACAAGCCTCGCCGGAAGGGCTCCAGAGTAAGTTTCAATTCCTCCAAGTAGTTGCATAAGTCCTGCATATTGGGGAAAAAAACAAAAAAAAAAAAAAAAAAGAGAGCTCGAGCTCATGAGTGGTATTAAAAACCGATGGCTTACTTTGGCAAGCTGTTCTTCTTTCGTTGCAGCTGGACGACTGGGTGCTGTGCCGGATCTACAGAAAGAAGACAAAGCTCCACAGAACGCCTTCCAAGGCGGACAACAAGCGGCCAGCTGCGGTTGCGAGTCAAACGGCAGCACCGCCAGAAGACGTGCTTGCCTCGTTGCCCGACCTTGACAGCTCAAGGATCTCGACGCTGCCGAGGCTCGGCTCCTTGAACGACTCGTTCGTACAAGGATTTCTGGCAGGGGACACCATCCGGTCTGGCGGCAATTCAATTGGTCAATACGAATGGACAAACAAGGAGAGAATACTCACCACTTCGGCCATGATGAATCAGCTAGCGAGGGAGGAGCCGTCGCTGTTCTTGCAGCAATACATCAATGGAGCCAATGGATTGCACCAGCAGCAGCAACAGCAGCAGCAGCACCACCACCACCAGCAGCAACAGCAGGAGCAAACATTGCAGCTCCCGGTCACAAGAGCACATAACTTCTTCCACGAGAAACAAGGTGCTCCTCAGCAGAACCTCAATTCTCGTCACCATCCTCGGCACCAGCAGCTCAATACCCTGGAGGCTTTGTGGACTACACGAACTCGTTCCAGTTCTTCTCGACGTGAGGCATTACGTAGCCCGACGACGCTACTGACGATCGAGTAAAGTTATTCTCATATAGCGGAGAGAGTTTCTTGCTGGTTGCAAGTCGTGGTGGCCTTGAAATTTCTGTTCAAAGATATAGCAAGCATACTGAAAATCGATGTCAATATCAGACTGTAACAACAAACAGAATATATCGATGGATAGATAGATCGATGGAGCTTGCCTGTACATGTTTGCCTTGCTTGTTGATTCACCAGCAAGATAGATCACTCACAGTGTGCACCACTGTGCCGCTGTTCCTCTCTTTTCCTGATTGACATAGACATGTACCTATAGCTCCAGAAAAGTACAAACCAATGGAGAGACCTTAAAGAGCTTACCATGACTCGTCACAAGCGCATCGAATCAAAGCGAGCGACGAGAGAAAAGAAAGTTTGGCCCACAACCTGAAGAAAGAGAAGGCGATTGAATCAGCGGCGAGTCATCCAGCATAAAAACAAGAGGCGTTCCAGCTACAACAGGACAGATTATTAGCAGCTCCTCTCTCTCTCTCTCTCTCTCTCTCTCTCTCTCTTTCTCTAGAGTTATACACAAAAATCCAGGCCATGCGATCCAAAGCACTCTAGATCGTGCGATGGAGCTCAAGAACGCAACAGAATCCAGGAATTACTCGAGAATGCGAGCTAGACGATCAATCCCGACCCCATAGCTTACCGATTGGCGCATTCCACCGGCGCCTGGCGGCGAGGCGCCATCGCCACTTTTAAACCTAACGAAGACACGTGGAATGTAGGGGTTTATAAGTGTTCTTCTTCTGCAGCCCTAGATTTTGGCTCTTGGCGATGGCGAGCGGCGTCTTTGCGATCGATCAGGTAAGAAATCCCTAGGCGCGTCGTGTTCCTCGGCTCGATCGAGCTATGGCGCCTTGATTCAATCGAAGCAGCGCTTAATTTGAATCGAGGAAACGCTCTAGCTTTGCTGGAATGAGGGAGTCTCATAGCATTCTTTTTTACTGGTCGCTTGGCATTAAGTAGATTATTCGCGTGTGTTCATCGTCCTGGTTGAAAGGAACCGACCGCTACCGCTGTGGCTGTACCGTGGAATTCGTTTGCGTGCTTTCTTCTTCCTGGTAGGATATATAAGTTGTCATGCACATCACGGTGTGTGGTGTGATTTAAGCCTTTGACTGCTTACATCGCTGGAATTTTATTTTTTCTTCCTCTTCTTCTTTCCCTCTTTGATTGCCCAAGATCTAAGCACAGATTCGTTCCTGCTGCTACTTGGGCATGTTGATGTCACTCATATCTGCCTGTAAAGTCTTGGATCCAAGTGAGATTTTCCGAAGAAGGGACTTTTAGTTTGTCTAGGTGGGGTTTTTACAGGAGAACGGACTCTTGGAGTGCTGGTACTCTATATAATAATGGTTGGAGTTTGTTTTGCAGATTACTAGGAAAGAAGTTGGTTTCTCTCAAAACATGAAAAATACACTCAATGGTACACACAGCGGTTTTGTTGCTGCTGCAAATCCAGGTGCTTTGGACTGTTTTTTTTTCTTGTTTTTTCCTTGAGCAAGCCTCTGCGGTCCAGAACTCACAACGGGAAATTCGATGCGGTGATAGGTACTTACATAACAGTGATCCATTCGGTCCAGTTGGAGCCTGGAACTTCAGTCGGTTGTGAATCGTCGTCGCTGCTCTCGACATCCGCTGGTCGACGCGAGCGTTGTTTGTTACCGTCCGAATCTCAAGTCGACAAGAGGCCTCTGTCAGTAACTCCACAGCGTGTCCATTTCCGCCGACGAAGAAGACGGAGCAACCGCTCGGTAGAGATTCGGTGGGACTTCGTCGGTGCCAGCGGAATCCGTGAGAGAGAACGAAGCTCCGGAGGGGAAGTTTTGCTGAAGAGTGGTGGTGCACAGAGCAAGGTAGTGAGGGTGACTCTCGTTCAACCATCCGGCGGTGTTTACGTCCATGGGCTGGTATACGGGTTGATGCATCGGCGGTGCGGACTTGGGCTCCACCTTGCACGCCCGTATGCCAGCTTTGGCCACCGAGTATGGACCGCTCAGCGACCGTGAAAACTGGTCGAGAGCCTTGAGCGAGTTGATGTCCGGGACGAGAGGTTGGCTGGGCTGGTTTTGGAGGTGGTGAAACGTTGAGAAGTCGGGCCTTGGCTTGGAATAGTTACCGGTGGTGGTGAAGGTGTACGATTCGAGTGCTGGTAAGCTGCCAAGGTTGGCTTGAGCCGCGAAACAAGTTGGAAGCTTTAATTCGCTAATGTCAGGCGGTGCTGCTGCTGCTGCTATAGAGGGGTGGTGCAGCATTGTGTCTGGATTAGTATCAGCAGCCGCGACTTGTACTCGGGGCTGCCAGCCGTTCTGCCTTTGCTCCTTGAGGAAGGAAGTGTCAGAGAAGCTTGGGACCTGGTCGTTCTGGCTCGTCTCGCTACTATCAGCAACAGCTTCTTCGGTGACTGTAACGTGAGGGGAGTCGTCTCGCAGCGGAGGCAGTGAAGTGTGAACTTGCTGAGCCGCTATCACATAGTGCGGGTCCCTAGCGAGGTTGCTGGATTCCCTCAACGCCTTTTTGCTGCCGGGGAACTTCTGGAAAACGCGACATATCACCCATTCGGAATCCTGTGAGCAGTTGAAGAAAAGCAGCTTTGGTCATTGGATTCCGACCGGAGAAAGAACAGGGAACACGAGGAGAAAGACTCGAGAGAATGCATCACTTTTTCCAACTGAGAGGTAGTTTGAGACTCACCTTAGGCAGCCTCGCGTTTCGATTAAACTGACTTGCTTCCCCTTCCAGGCGGTATTCGTGCATGATCCAGTTGCTCTTGAGCCCCTTTGGAGCTCTTCCCCTATAGAAGACAAGAGTTTTCTTCATACCCACCAGACAGGAGGTCCGAGAGCTGTTTATGTTTCGGTCCTTCCCGGTTGCCTTCCAGTATCCAGCTTCAGTGGCCCTGTTGGTCCTCATTCCAGTCGGATACTTCCGGTCTCTTAGAGTGTAGAAGTACCATTCCTTCTCTCCCATGCTCGCTTTGGCTGCACAAAGAGAGACCAAAGGTAGACAAAAAAACCATTTTTCAGTGGACATCTCTAACTGATTGCTTCACAGGTTGTCGGGCAACTTACTCGGCAGATCCCAAGGCTCGCACTTGTTGAGGTCAACTTCGGCAATTGCACTGATTCTAAAGCTACTGAAGAGAACTTTCCTGGTCAGGTAGTACACCAGCTCTTCGTCCGTGGGATGGAACCGGAAGCCTGGAGGTAAATATGGATCCTCAGGCCTTTGCTGCATCTGAGCCAAGGACAACAAGTCCATGGTGGAGTAACTCTTTTGCTTTTGCTTGCAGGGAACGCAGGAGCGAGCAAGGAGAAGATTGGAGGAGAGGAGGATAATATAAATCCCGAGTAGCCAAAGACAATTGCGTTCTCGACTGCACAGGCGATGCGATGCGCCCCTAGGTACGGACAAGCGGCAAAGCTCTCACGCTTGGCTCCCGGTCCTACAGATGGCACGGCATTGAAGCGTTTAGAGCCGGAACAAGATGAGCGCTTGTGCATGCAAACAAAGAAAGGCCATCCCTTGGAGCGCCTCACGAAGCCGGCTTATCATCTTTTTGGAGCTTCTCTATCCCAGATTCGCGGACGGAACCAACGAAGCTAGCAGCGCCTCGACCAGAACGCTTCAGTCGCTCGCCAGTAGCTAACAAAACGAACCGAAGATCGCTCGTCACAAAGACAAAAGATGGAGGACGAAGAACAACTCTCGCGAGAAAGAAGAACAAAACTCTCGCTCGCTCGGTCGATCGATCGATCGATTGAGGAGGAGAAACACCGCCGCCGCGCCTCAGGAGTTATTTCTTTTCTTCTTCGTCTTCCTCGCGACCGAGAAAAGTAGAAACCAAATCGGAAAAGCGAGCGAGCGAGCGAGTGTGAACAACTCACACTGATAACTACATCTAGCAGCGTCGAGGCAACCGACGGTGGAGATTCGGCCATGTACTCGTGCTCACATGTCAACGGCCGCTTCCCGCCACTGCGGTAGCGCCACGCGTCCATATTGTCAGGTCCCGGCCTTCAGGGTCCGTGGGTCTGTCAGACGCATTATATCTTCCTTTGCATCAATCGGTGCGCGCTAAAAAACTTATAAAAAAAAAGCGCAAAAAATATTAAACAAATCCAGCGAACTCGCCAGAAAAATTTGCAAATTTTACAAGATAATATTTTTTGTGTGTACGGTCTAGAAGATCGTGCCTCGACGGACCGACCAAAATCACGTAAAAAAAAAGGGAACACTGGAACCCGGAGAGAGTTGAAGTTTGAATGTTTCCAAATATGTGGGGCAATTTTTCTCGCTCATTCTTCATGAGAAAGATCTCTTCCAACAACGGGTGGATCATCAATGTAGGTCCAATCGAATTGCACGATCTATAAACTCAGGTATATGTATACTTCTTGTATGCTGAAATTTCGTATCTGGCAATTAGCTCAACTGTGATGCTTTTCAAAGCGTCTCAACATCAGGCAGTGTCATGGAATTTATATAAAAAATCAGAAAAAATACGATTAAAAGTGTAGACCAGCCCGCCCGTTTCACAGCACATTTTTTTGTTGATTGAGTGGCATAGACGCCGGCCGGGTACGGTGGCCCTGGCCACGCCACTGGAGAAGCGCCATGGCCCACAGAAACGCTCCCGCCACAGCGTACGGACACCACGACGTCACCGGCCACGTCAGTGTTTCGTCACCGCCACGTCGGACGGCATTGGAAAACCAAACAAAACGCTCTGCTGTTTTTCTTGGAAATTTCATAGTTTTGCTTGGAGTGTTATCTAATCGTTTCCAGTTCCAGCGAGACATTTATATCGTCGGCAGCAGAATTTCATGGGCTCTTTGCTTTATTGCTGGAAAGAGGGCGAGAAAATAGAATTCAAAATATCGGACTAGAGAAAATACACTACAAAATACTAAGTCAAGACAATACAAAGAGAGCCCATCGATCATTGAGTGAGGTCATTCCAATCATGTAGCGGATCCCTCAATCATTCAGGAAATGGCAGCCTCCACATTCTAAATCCAAGCGTTCGCGAGAATATGCCGGGGTCAGCGTCCGTTTGAACCGAGCATCTTGCCGGCATATGCTTCTGTCTCCCTAACGGTGACAGTCCGCACGGAGCTCTGTCATCTTGACTGACGGGCGGCCAGGCTTTAGCCTGCTAGGTAAGAAGAATCTTAAGCAGCAGATCTACGAGATTCGATTCCCTATGATACCATTGGCATCATTCTCTCTACCTCTACCAGTCAAAAGCTGTCTTAGATAGTACCGGGTACGCTGCCGGTTTAATGTCTTATGGGGTGGGGTGTACTGGAGGCAGGCCGCTACTGCACACCCCCAACTTGAAAACTTACAAACAAATCCCACTCTACATTTTTGTCCAGAATGTAGGATCTCAGTAGGGTTTTGTACATGAGCTGGATTTTGCCATGGTATGGCAAATATGTTCGTATTTTTATACTGAAAGTAACATTGGTCCAAAACAATTGGATTACCTTTTGGGAATCAAATAATAGTATTCTAAGCATTAAAATGGTGCTGGTACATGGACAGATATGGTAATGTCTGAGGTTGATGTTCTGATGAGCCAGACCAATTTCCCAAAGGGGAAAGGTACAAATGTGCTTCTTCTTCTTGAGCAATGGAGGAGGCAAAGAGTTTAACCTGTTTGCTGGTGGGGTACCAGAAGCAGCCACTTCAAAAAAAAAGGGCTCATGTCTGTTGCAACTTTAAAGGCTTCTGGAGACTCTGAGTGGATGGATAGATGGATGGATTGGTGCTTCTGCTGCTGCTGGAGGTGGAGAGATCAAAACTTTAAGGCTTTGAAACAGAGCAGGTTCTTGCCTTCTTTTTAAACCTCTGTTTCTCTGGACTTTAACAAGAAAGGAAAAAAAGAAAAATGCAGCTCTGGCTTCGATGCAGTCAAAGTTCTTATAAAACTAGTCAAAAGCAGCTTTAAAAGAACTAATCAATATTTCCAAGGTGTTTAGCCTGATTACAAATCACATTTTTGGATGACTTTTGTCCCTATTCAATCATAAAATGCCTCAAAAGAACAATGATTCAAAAGGACACTGCTAGGGGTTAATTCAAAGGGCTGTTCACACTATCATATTTACTTTTGTTTCTTCTTGAAAGCCTTGACAACACCCAGTGAAATCTTTCGAAACCATACCAGGTTCATCAACGCCAGCAGAGGCGGAGCGATAAACAAGAAATAAAATCCAGCATCATGCATTTGTCTCACCTGTCAAGATACATAAGCATGTACAAGTAAAACAACAATTACCAAAACGCTTACCTGATCAAAATGAAGGTAAATATGAGTGAAGAAGTAGACAAAGAGCAGCACTCGAAAGATCTAGAACAACACAAAGAGAAAATCGCAAAAGGAGTCAAGATCTTTGATGGTGGAGGATGATCATAGTAGTGTACCAGCCATGTCAGGAAAAGTAAGATCCCATTGAGGAGGTAGGCGTTTGATCCACTTTGGCCAGCAGTGCTCAAGTACCTTTTGCAACCATTGCGATAAAACACAAAGTTTGATTCGCGATGTGATGGGTGGACGGAGGATCGATCGATCGAGGTGATCGCTTACCATCTCAAGTTGACGAACGGAGTAGTGAATTCCGAGAAGAGGACCAAGTAAAGATAGATGTGCGCGTACCCACTGTGAAGACCCAGAGCTAGCGAGGCGATAGAAAGGCCGTGATGGAGTATCTGTGTTTATATGGACACAAAACAAAGATAAAATATTGAAACGCCAGAAAGATTTGGAAGAAAAGAAGCTTACGTAAACCCATCCTCCAAGATCCGGATAGCACCAAATTATCATCGAGAGATCCGCGATGAAGTAGCCGATCGAGAACTGCATTGGAAGATCGAGGAGTTTCAAACGCTCGCGCAAAGTTATGGAAGCGTTTGATCCAACTACTTACACCAAGAACAGCCTGAGAGAAGATGGTGCTACGGAAGACCACGGGCCCGTACGGGGCAGCGTCGGAGAAGAAATCGCTGTACACAAGAAGGTAAGCGGCGATGGTGGACACAACAATCGCGTGCGCGGTTGAAAATCCTCTAAAAAAGTTGGTGACAAAATTGGTGAACCAAGAACTCGGGATCAAAACTTCAATGTAAGTGGCGATCACGAACAAACCTGTTGCTCCACTCGATTTGCTGCCGCCTCGCGAGGGATCGGTACACCTTGATCTGCGAGAAGCTGGATTCCATGTTGTCGTACACCTATCCAAGTTCTTACATTTTTGAAGCTCTGCTCGTCACCACGATGAAAGGAACAAACAGAGAAAACAAGAAGAAAAAGCTTACAGATTTGCAAAAGACGATCCCCACAGCTATGGACGCCAGCCAGAGCAGCGGCTCCGCCAACCGCCCACGCTCGCCAAAAACCTCCCACATCTGCCGATTGAAGAGCTCCGCCTTGTCCATCGCCGCCCAATTCTAGAAACTCGATCGATCGATAGATTGCAAGATCTCTTCCACTCTCCTCTCGCTCTCTCTCTCTCTCAAGTAGTAGTAGCAAAGAGGGTTATGGAAACTGCTAATCGTGGATGAGGAGACGGGCGCGACTTGTCCACGATCTGCCAAGCTCCGGCGAGAGCCCAATTTTTTAATCGCGATCCAGGCGCTGCGGCAGCCGGGGATTCCACCGTCGCAGACGAACAAGTAGAAGTGGGAGACCGCCACATTTTCTTTCTTCTTTTATTCTCGCCCCACCTTACTCCACTGTAGTAGATTGGAAGAATGGGAGAAGTTTTTCAAAACTTGTGGGCAAAAACGCAGCAACGTCCTTTTCGCGCTTGGTGATAGCCCCAGAATATTCTTCAGAACCGGCACAGTCAACGGCACTATTGACACGTGTCAGTCCCTTACTATCGACAAGTGGCATAAGCCCTAACCTTCGTTGTTTAGATCGTGATTAAATGTAAAGCGCTTGTAGCTCAGTGGACAGAGCGTCTGTTTCCGGAGCAGAAAGTCGCAGGTTCGATCCCTGTCTGGCGCGAATTTTAACATCTTTAAAGGTTTATAAGCCCCAAATATCAGAGAATTCATTGAAAATCTTCTAAAGGTTGGTTTTTTAAAATGTGAGTTCTCTATCGCACCTCGCTCAAGATCATCTCGGCTTGGAGCGCTCTCCCTGATCTCGCGAGACCCTCCACAATGGTGCTGTAGCTCACGCCATCCGGATCACAGCCTTGGCTCCTCATCCTCTGGAAGAACTTGAGAGCATCATCGATGCGCCCCGCCTTGCACAGCCCACCGATGAGCGCGTTGTAAGTCGAGACGCTCGGCGGACAGTGATGTCCACCGCCGCCGCCGCTGCTCATCTCCTCCACCATCCTCTCGGCCTCGGCGAGCCGGCCGCAGCTACAAAGCCCGTGAACCAGCGAGCAGTAAGTCACAGCGTTTGGCTTGCATCCCTCCATCGCCATCTCCCGGACAGCCTCCACGGCCTCCTCGATCTTCCCCGCCTTGCATAGCCCGTTCACCAGGCTGCTGTAAGTCACCACGTCGGGGCGGCACCCTGCTCTAGCCATGGCTTCCATCACGCTCCTGGCCTCCTGCGTTCTTCCCAGCTTGCAAAGCCCGTCCACCACCGTGCTGTATCCCACTACGTTGAGCCCACACCCGTCGCTGGAAGCCATCTGTTCCATCATCTCCAGCGCAGTGTCGATCTTCCCAGACTTGCACAGCCCGTCGAGGATGGTGTTGTAAGTCACTACGTTGGGGTCGTGGTGGCTGTCTCGCATCTGCTCTAGAACCTGATGAGCGTCCAGGACCTTGCCGGACTTGCAAAGGCCGTAAACGAAACTGCTGTACGCAACCACGTCCGGAGCACAGCCCGAGGCCTTCATGCGCTCGAGCAGCTGCTCGGCCTCTTGAAGCCTTCCGAACTTGGAGAAGCCATGGATGACGGACGTGTACGTGAAGAGATTCGCCGTCTTGCTCATCGTGTGCAGCAGCTCCTGAGCCTCGGAGAACCTCCCGGCTTTGCATAGCCCGTCCATGAGCGTGTTGTAAGTCACAACATCGGCCTTAACACCGCTCGCGGCCATCTTTTGGAGTAGAGAATCAGCCATCTCCAGGTTCTTTTCCCTGCAGCAACCGCTGATCAGTGTGTTGAAAGTAATGAGAGTCGGACAGCAACCTGCGCGGATCATCTCCTCTAGTAGCTCCAGCGCCTCTCCAAGCCTCGCGGACTTGCACAGCGACGCCACAACCTTAGTGTACATCAAGGCATCCGGCCGGAGGCCTCTCGAGATCACCTCCTTGAGGAGTTCCCGGCTTTCTTCCACCTTCCCTGCCTTGCAGTACCCGGATAGAAGAGTGCTATACGTTACCATATCCGGAGTACTCCTCCCGCCCCTGGAGATCATATCTCGGACTAGCTCTTCGGCTTCGTGCCACCTTTCTAGCTTGCAAAGTCCCTCGAGCAAACCGTTGTAGCTCACAACGTTGGGCTGGATATCCCTGGCAGCCATCGTTTCCAGAAGCCTCTCGCAGTCACCCGGCCTTCCCTGCTTAGAAAACCCGTTAACAAGCGCGTTGAAAGTCACAGAGTTTGGCGGGCAACCTGTTCGATCCATCTCGTCGACAACGTCGCTGGCTTCGCTCGATCGTCCAGCTCGACAAAGAGCGTCCACAAGCACCGTGTACATGACCACCGTCGGCTGGACACCCTCGACTCTCATCACCCTCAGCCACTTTCGAGCGTCGGCAAACCTCTCCTGCCGCGAGTAGCACTTCACCAGCGAGGAGCTAAAGATCGAGAGAGCCGGAGCAGCGCAGCCGGACCGCCGGGCCAGCAGCCTCACAAACTCTTGCGCAGTGCCGGATCTTCCAGCCTCACAGAGCGCCTGGACGACGGCATTGGAGGTGTCAAAGTCGAGCGAGCAGCCCCGAGCGATCATCTCCATGGCAAGCTCGTAGCCATCGTCGGCCATGCCATGCTTGCACTTGGAGGAGACGAGCACTGTGTAGATCGCGGCGATGAGCGGCGAGTCCCACAGTCGAAAGTATCCCACCGCGGCGCTTACGTCCCCGGCCTTGCACAGCGCGGAGATTATCGGGAGATGGGAGTACTCGTCGGGCTGGAACGAGGAATCCACCATTCTTGCCACGATTTCCAGCGCCGCGACGAGATCCCCGGCCTTGCAGTAGCAAGAGATGACCATGTTGTGGGAGAATGCATCGCTGGGGCACGACTCGAGAATCTGGCGCGCCTCTCGAGCCCTACCCGATCGCGTGAGGAGATAGATGAGGCAGCCGGAGGAGAATCTGGTGTGGAAGAACCTGGGGATCGTATCGGCGGCCCAACGGAAGAATGCGAGCGCCACATCGGGATCGCGTAGCCGCCGCACGACGCTCCCGACGACGTTCGATGGCGTCGTCTCGTAGCAGGCATAGGGGACGAGATCAGACTCCAGCTGCGGCCAGGGGCGCCCGCTCTGGAGCAGGCTCGCAATCTCTTGCACCGTCCTCTTCCATCGCATCGAAGAGCCCGAAGAACCCTAGATTCCCTTTCATCTGTGGAAGATTCTGCTATCTTTTTGCCCTTATAGTTTAGCGGAATATACCCAGAAAGCGGCCGAAGGTATATTCGTTTGATGGCTTTTCATCTTAAAGACGGTTGCTTGGCAAAAACCCTAGAACGCAAATGAGGGGGAAGAAATGGGCTGTGGAGCATCGAAAGAAAGCCCGCAGTCCGCAGCCATAGATCCATCCCCGATCGGTGACAGGAAGAAGGGCGCGATTGCGACAGTGGACGGCGAGTGCTCGGATCTCCGCGGTAATGGCGGCGACGATTTCGACTGCGACCCCGGGGACGATTCGTCCGCCGCGGCTAGGGCTTCCAAGGCGGTGAGCTTGATCGTCAGGACGTGCTCCCCGGAGCGGCAATCTAGCCCGCCGCGGCAGGAAGAGGAGGAGGAAGCGCGGGGCCAGAGCGACGAGGAGGAGGAGGAGGATGAGGGGAATCAGGGAATACTGAAAGCCGAGAGGGAGAAAGAGGATCATCACGGCGATCTGGAGGAGGATGGGAGTTCCGAGACGATTGTGTCGCCGTCGAAGTCCCCGGATCTGGCAGCGCTGGACGTGACAGAGAAGGAATGCTGCGGCCAGGGTGTGGATGATATTCTGCCAAAGGCCGCGGCGGCGGCGCTGGAAGCGATCGTCAAGAGCGCCGAGGATGACGTCCAGGCCATGAAAGTCGTCGCGGCCGTGGCTGCGGTGGGGGACATTCTCTTCGGTGGCAAGGAGGAGACCGAGACGAAGATCGAGAAGTGCCAAACGATCGTCAAAACTCTTGCCGAGGTTGATCCATCGATGCTGTGATTCTTTTCTTTCGTATGGTTTGGTTCTTCGTTCTAAATATCTTTAGCTTTCTTTTTCTCCAGGTGGATGCCAATACGATCAATGGATTTTTGAAGCCGGATCAACAAAACTTTCGTTTTCCAGGTGCTGAGAACTCAGCCCTGCCATGAACAAGTAAGCACGTAATGCATAAACTCTACTAGTCTCTCTGTGGCTCGCTTCTCACATTCTACTTCTTTTCTACGTCTTGCCCAGGACTTCCAGCTAACAATCAACCCGACGAGATCGTCGATGAGCACAGCGAGAACGAGAACGAGAACATCGACAGCAATTCCCCAAAGAGCAGCTTCCTCTTCGACTACTGCCAGAAGCTAAACAACTACAGGATTTCGCCGCCGTCTACAGCGTCGGCCTCGTCCTCCGAGGCCGACACACTGTCCATGGTCCAGGATTTCCTGGAGGAAATCGACCTCACCAAGGATTACGTGGAGCTCCCGCCCACGCCTAAAGTTTCCTCAAAGTCCAAGAACAGCAGCAAGATAAAGCAACTCACTTTCTCAGATGCTGTGATATGACATCAGAACCAGTGCCATTTCTCAATATTTTCAATCTTATGAGTTGAATGCACTGGCAATTCTAAAAATAATTCATTTTTCAATTAAAAACTGTAAATGAATAATAACCAATATTTAAGAATATTCAAGCATTTTATATAGATGGGAAAGATAATAATTATTTGTAGTTAGAACCAAGTAAAATTAAATATTAATTATAATAAAAATATATCTTTGTAGAAATGGGATATTTAAATATCCATATCCAAAAACCCTAGCTTATATGCAATCTGACAATTATTAAAATCCCACTATATTAATCTTAGTGTATAGCCATTAATACTAGTATATACCATTATAATCATATATTTGGTCTTCACATCATTCTCTCCTCTCGGAAAAATGGAAGGCAATCAAGGTTTTCTGGTTGATGTGCCAAGATTTGAAGGGACATTAAGAAGAGGCATTAGTGGATCTGTAAGTGGTATTAATTTAAATTTGCACATGCATAATTTCTATAGGATTGGCCTATGCTAAACCTTATAAACTTCCAGTCTAACATTTGATATTATCCCTTCCATTAAGCAATGAATTTTTTAAATAAACCATGTACTATAAAATTGGGAAAATAGATTAACATAAAGTTAATTCATTTTGTACTCTACAAATGGATGATGATAGAAGTTATAGCACCATTGTTGTCCCATTTGTATGTAGCCTAAATATTTAGTAGACTTGGGCTTGGTTAAGTGGAAGAATACTCATCAAATATTGATAATATGACTTAGTATTGATAGCTTGTGATAATTGCAAATGTTAATTCAATTCCGTTAGCAATATCAAATCTTAACTATATAAGAGTTTATATAGTGAAGCACCAATAGAACTTTGTACCCCTATGACATACATATGGATGATAAACATGTGTAAAAATGTGGCATATCCCTAACCAAGATATTAAAATGTAAAATGCCTTAACCATAAATGCATAATCATTACTTGAGAGAATCCTCTTTAGAAAAGAATGATGAAACACTAAGCAATTGATGAAAAAGTATCCAATAGTAGTTACAGACAAACTAATAAAAGCACTAACTTCCATCCAATGAGTCAAGTAGTTATAAGCAATAATGATATACTTATTACCAATAGTTGACATTAAAAAGGGCTCCAAACACCACAACTGAAATGGATAGGAAATTGTAATTAATTCTAATTTTCCATCTATAGCATGAGGGGGATTTAATGAGTTTAACACTAAACATAATTACACACATACTGGATAATATCACATTGCATATTTGGCTAATATAAAGATTTTTGCAACTTCACAATCACACAATGATGTCTTATATGCCCATCTAGAATAAAACAATCATGATAAACATATAGAAAGCGTGGAATAAAAATTGAAAACATCAATAGCTATAAATGATTATTAAACTTTATCCTTACAAAATAAAGAATACCATCCTTAAGGCAATATTGAGAATGTAAATGCTAAAATGGCAAAATCATCAGCAAGTCATATAGAATTTTTAAATCCATCATAAAGTTTTTAAATTCACAGCCCAACGTTTTGAGCCTTACAAACCTTTTTGAGAGAAGGTAAATCTTATTTTGCACTTTATGGACATTGAACATTAAGTATAGCAATTGCTAATAGCACTAAAAAATCTATAAATGTTAGAATAATAGATTCTTCAAGAATAAAAGAAGAGAGTAAAGAAGGGAGAGGAGCTTGAGAAAGGACATTAACATCAATTACAAAACTCTCTTAGTGATGAATAACCTCGAAATTATATATTTAAAACTTCAAAGCCTATTGAGAAATATGACCAATTAAGCTCTTTTATTCTAATAACGAAGTAATTGCAACATAATCACCTTTTAGTAATATTCAAGAATTATATAGATATGCATAAAGTTTTTCAAAACCCCAAACTAAACACTCTTTTGTCATGGAGTAGTTGTACACCAAAACTAAAAGAGTTGTCAACAGCTCTTTGAGATTTATAAACACCCCCTCATAGTCTATAGACCAGATGAAAGATGATATTGATAACTTTAACAATGTGCAAACCCTAAACAATACAATACAATTAGAAAGATGATTAATAAAACAATTGAGATATTGTACTTTATCATAAAAATGATGCACATTATTTACACACTTCGAAGTAAGAAACTTGAAAAGATCCACAAGTTTGTTAGGATTAACTTGTAAACTTTAACAAAAAATACAGTACTCAAGATAAATCATGTTTTTGAACCCAAACACACACTTCAATTGCTTCAACTTTAAATTAACTTTTTATAATTGATTTAACATTTTACAAACATCACGAATATACTCTTTATACATCCCTTCTGAGTGGATTAATACATCATCGATGAAATCAATAAATATATTCGGCATATCGTAAAGAACTTTGTCCATCATCCATTGGAAAGTCACTAGAGTATTAGTTAAACCAAATGGCATCACCAAAAACTCATACAAACTAAATGGCATATGAAAAACAATCACAAAAATATTTTTTTCAACTACTAACACTTACTATTACCCAAAAATAATATCTAACTTAGTGAACCAACTACTTCTTCCTGGACAATCTAAAAGATCAACAGTGTGAGGAAAGTAATACACATATAGGATAGACACTTCTTTTAATGGATAATAATAGATATAGAAACAAATACTTCTATTAGGGTTCATCATAAGACGAGGTTTAAATGCCCAAAGACTCCACAAGTTTTAGATAACACCCTTTTCCAAGAAACCACCAATGTATACGATGAATACATTTGAAGTTGTTTTTCGTTATGTTTTGCCCCTCATTATGATGTGGATAATGCTTGCATAGAATTTTAACATTTCTAGCAAAGGGAAATGACACTCGGGGTTTATATATAAGTCTCATTAGATCTTTTTCTAACATGATCTGCTTTGATATATTTGGCTCCACACAAAGCAAAAAACTCTAGAAGCAAATGCCAAATTGCATTATTGACTTAAATGGCTCATGATGAAAAACAAGCAATTGTTGAAATACATTATCACAATTGTTGGCATATTCAATATATACTTAAAGTGTCTATGAGAATGTTTTAATCTGCATGAGTGACTACACTCAAACTATTGTATTATTGCAATGCGGAGATACGCAAGAAACTCATATAAACTATAAGCAACCAAAGGGAACGACTTAAGAGACGATCCATAGGGTTTAAATATAGAGGGAAAGGGCCCATGAACAAAAGTGCACCCCTTTTTCCAATCGGTTAAGGGTCTTGGGATATTCAGGGTTAAGAGTCCTTGGGTTTGAATAATACTGGGCCCGGGTGACCTCCCAGGAAGTCCAAACTCATGAGTTTACATTTGGTATCAGAGCGATCTCGGGTCCGACTCTGTTGGTTGGCTAGGGGAATCACACCACATGTTGATTGACATTTGGCTGGTCCAATTTGCTCCCGCTAGGCTAGGGTGTCAAGAGAGCGGGGCTCTCGGGAGAGCTGCGGCTCTCAGCTTCCGTTCACGAGGGCGTGAACTTGCAGGGAAGCGTGGTGGATTGTAAGCAACCAAAGAGAACGACTTGAGAGACGGTCCATAGGGTTCAAATATAGAGGGAAAAGGCCCATGAATAAGAGTGCACCCCCTTTTCCAATCGGTTAAGGGTCTTGGGATACTTGGAGTTAAGCGTCCATGGGTTTGAATAGTACTAGGCTGGGTGATCTTTCGGGAAGTCTAAACTCAAGAGCTTACATAAACATCAAGCATCATTCTAAAAATGATAGATAGCAATCACCATGAAATGATTAAACCAATAGTACATACCATCCCTAGGATTCTCACAAAAGAACTCTAGCCAAACATGAGGATTAGTAGTAAGAGTAGAAGGAATTATACCATGCATTGTGAATATTATTACCAATTGAGTTTGATTGTTCAACTACAATCACATAGCATCAAGTAAGTACACCAACTACTACTCCAGAACTACTCTAGGGCTCACAATGGAGCTTTTTACATACCATCCCTAGGATTCTCACAAAAGAACTCTAGCCAAACATGAAGATTAGTAGTAAGAGTAGAAGGAATTATACCATGCATTGTGAATATTATTATCAATTGAATTTGATTGTTCAACTACAATCACATAGCATCAAGTAAGTACACTAACTACTACTCCAGAACTACTCTAGGGCTCACAATGGAGCTTTTAATGTAGCTCAAGGGTGGTTGGGTGGTGAAACACATCAAGAGGAAGCATAGTATAATTGAGGGAGATTAGATTGTTATCTTTTAGCGTTGGATATTAACATTAGTATTAGAGAAAGGAGAAAGAGGCTACTGCTCTACTATGAAAATAAACTAAAAACGAAAAAATAAAAATAAAAATAAAAAAGTTATAAGGAAAGTTAAATCTAAGATCTAAACCAAAATCCTAAATCCATTCCTTAGGGATAATCAAAGCTGCCCCTCAATCTCCACTAATATAAGTGTATGGATATGGAAATGTAATATAGAAATATAAATATCAATTAGCCAAAAACCTTGGCTTGATCCAACTCAAAACCAATCTAATGATTATTATGCTAATATTAGTATACAACATTGTAACTGTATACTTGGACCTCATATTATGATTTTTCTTAAAATAAAAATAATATACTTCTTAAATATATTTTAAAATAATTTTAGGATGTATTAAAATCTTATAAAAGACCTCTCCCTAATCATTGAATTTCATCAATCATTACAATATAAACAATTATTACTCCTTGTTATAAAAAAGGATTAATTTCTTTTTACATTTTATCATGCCTTTTTGTAACTTACTAATTAAAGTAAATTTTAGATTTTAGTATAAAGGATGTAATTACAATCAAGATTAATAAGATTAATTCTTTCATTTTTCTTATTTAGTGACTAGCTGAAAGTTTTGGAATAACAGGCCAACACACCAAGTTGGCAAGTTATATAATCCATCCAACAAATGAGACTTACCATATAAGTATGCACAATGTCTAGCTATGCATATACCAAGTGCAAATAGGATCCAATGACATCTGATATATGGGGTTGTTGACTCTGCACGCATCCTTGCATGAGAACTTTCATTTTACTCCCGGCTTGGCAAATTTATCTCAAGCTTTCCTGCAGTGGGAAATGGATGAAGATCTGTCTCTTGCATCCAGGCTTAAGCGCTGCAATAGTGCTCTGGAAGCACAAACGCTCCACGGGAGAGTGTTGAGTGCTCACAAGGGTGATCGATATCTTGCAAATCTGGCCATCCAGATGCACGGCCGACGTGGCGACGTGGCTAAAGCAAGGAGCGTATTTGACGGCATCGCACGACCCAACGTTTTCTCGTGGAACTCGATGCTCTTGGCATATGCCGCGAACGGGCATCTAGAGGAGGCCGAGAGGATATTTCAAGGGACATTGCTTAGAAACATCATGTCGTATAATTTAATGATGCTAGTTTACACGAAATCTTTTTACGTCGAAAAGGCTAAAAGCATTTTTGATACTATGCCCGATCGAAACCTTGAGAGCTGGAACGCAATGATCAAAGCAAATGCCGAGTGTGGGCATTTGATCCAAGCGAAGGATGTGTTTGATCGAATGCCCGAGCGTGATGTTATCTCCTGGAACACGATGATCGCTGCTTATGTCCGCGCCGAGAACACGCAAGAAGCCAAGGCAATGTTTGATGATATGCCCGAGAAAGGTATCGTGACGTGGAACACAGTCTTGTCGGCGTGTAACAACGACGTGGATGCCACGCACGCTGTCCTGCAGCAAATGCCCGAGTGGAATGTGGTGTCGTGGAATACCGCGCTGACCACGTTTGCAGACAACGGGCAGCTGTTCGCCACGGTGGATCTGTTTGAGAGGATGCCGGAAAAGAACGCTGTGACGTGGAATGCCATGATAATGGCATATGCCCATAACGGGCATTTGGCGCTTTCCAAGGCGTTGTTTCATAAGATGCCCAGGCCAGACATAGTGACGTGGAACACAATGCTAAAGGTGTTTTCAAGTTTTGGCCACTGTAAAAACGTTTATGACACAATGCCGGGATGGAATGTGGTCTCTTGGAATATTATGCTAGCCGCATATGCCCAGAATGGGCATATACTAGAAGCAGAACGTTTGTTTAAAGAAATGGCAGATTGGAGTGTGATAACGTGGAACATAATGCTAGAAGGATATGCTTTAGTTGGAAAAATAGAAGATTGTAGAAAGATATTTTTTTCAATGAAAGAGAAAAGCTTGGTATCTTGGAATTGTTTGATTCAAGCGTATGCCGAGAAAGGGGATGTTGAGAATTCGAAGTGTCTGTTTGACAAGATGCCCGAGAGAGACGTCATCTCCTGGACGGCAATGGTGGTGGCATATTCGCAAAATGGCTACTTTCAAGATGCCAAGAATCTCTTTGTGGAGATGCCGGAGCGCAGTGTGGTTTCTTGGACAGCAATGCTGGGAGCATATGCCTGGGCAGGGCATGTAGAAGAAGTAAGAATCTTCTTTGATACAATGCCTGAGAGAGACTCAGCAGCATGGTCTGCAGTAATATCTTCAGTCTCAAATGCTGGAAAAGTGAAGTGTGCTATTTTTTTGATGGTTACCATGAATCTGGAAGGCTTTGATGTTGATGAGATTACAATGATAAGCATTCTAGCAGGGTGCAGCGAGAAAGGACTGCTGGAAGAATGCCGCTGGTATTTGCTTGCAATGACAAATGACTATGGTCTAGTGCTAATTGAGGAGCACATATGGGTCATCATAGATTGCTTAGAACGATCAGAGCACAAAGAAAAATTTCCTAAAGTATCACCTCTTGTATATTCTTCAAAGAATGTGCACTAAAAATCCTTCAACCTCTTTTTCTTTCGCTTGTTTTTTTTTTTTTTTTTTTGTTGCTAATCTTCAGTCTCTACAAACCCAACATTGGCGACAAGGACCATCTTGTCCCGTGTTCTTCCCTTCAGCACAGCAACATCCTTGACTTTGTCTAGGAGCCCTTCCAGATCCTGGACGCCAAAAGCCGCGTAGTCTGGATCCTTGGAGTACCTCTGTCTGTAGATCCTGAGAAGATCACTCACCAGGATATGATACTGGAAGCTAACCAGCAGCTCCTGGAGCTCCCGCTTGAAAGCCTCTCTCGCAAGCTCACTACCACCACCACCACTGCCACTACTCTCCACCACTTCCTGGATCTCGATCACCTCCTCCACCTCTCGATGCTGCTCGCTGCCTCGCTCATCCGGCGAGTCGGACGAGTCTTGAGAAACGTCCAGCTTGCTCACGTAAACCACCACTTCCTCGTCCACCATGCTCTTGGATTCCTCCTTTGGAGCCTCGATCTCCTGTTCCTCCACCTCGTTCTCCCTCTCGTCATCGTCGTCCTCTTCGTCATCGTCCTCGTCGTTTTTGCCTTCACAAGCGCTCCCCCACACCTCTTTGTATCTCGCAGCCATGCGCTTCCCCATGGCCGTCAGGTGGACCTTCCTCTGTGAGCCTTTTCCCTTGATACACACCGTGTCTTGCATCCTCTCGATCAAGTGAACCAGCCTGCGCGACCCGTAGTCGGCCATGTAGAGTGGCTTCTGGTAGAGCTTGATATACTTCGATGGTATCTTGAGCATCAGCATCTTCCCGCCGTGCAAGCTCAGCAGCTTCACGAGCTGCCGCTTCAAACCGGAGATATCCCCCGGCTGGACGAAGGACGGGCTCCCTGGATCTTCTGGCTCCACCGGAAGTGCCGAAGACGTGCTTGGTTGCGACGTTGTTCGCACATTGATCTGAGTCCACTGAGGACTCGGGCTCATTTGCTGCGGAGAGTGACGCTCCTGCTGCTGCTGCTGCTGCATCAATCCCCACTCGCCACTGCCCTCCCTCCTAACGTACCGAGGCTGAGGAACTGGAATAGGTGGCGAGAGTCCGGTGGCGCCTCGGCCAGTTTCGTCACCCGACTCGTCGCTAAACATCACCGGGAACCGTCGATCCACACTCTCCCGGGGCTGGAAAGGCCTCGCCGGAACGAGGCCGTGTCCCCGAGCAACGCTGGTCCAGTCCCACACGTACTTCCCAGCGCTGCAAAGGCTTCCGGAGACGTATCCGGAAGGAATGGCGAGCACCACCGTGTAGTCGCGCTGCCCGAGCTTGTGGAGCGCCGGGGCGAAGTCGACGTCGCCGGTGATGAGAAGGATGGTGCAGGGTGGCCGGTTGTCCAGCGCGAACAGGAACATATCCACGAGGATGGCTTTGTCCGACGCATTCTTCCTGCCGTTTGGAACGTCGATGAGGTTGACGCCGGTTCTCTGGCAGCCTTCTCTCACCTTGCGTGGGAAATGGTTGAAGTCGCCATAAGCCGAGAACATTTTCACGGCGCCCCGGGTAGAAGAATGCATTCTCAGCGCCATCCTCACGTTTCCAGCAACCTCCTCGGGATTCACCTCGCCTGGAACCGTGCAATTCTCGATGTCCCACAGAATTGCCACCGGAGCACTCGGGATTTTCTGGTGTTGCTGCTGCTGCTGCTGTTCTTGCTGCTGCTGGATCCTCATATCCTCTCTTGGCACTCCAGTTCCAAATCCTTGCGTTGCTCGGGAAGGACCACTGCTACCAGAGTTGCCGATCCCTGTGAGCGCACTGCCGGACCCCATTGCGCCTTCGCAAAGATCTTCTCCAGCCAAGAACCCACTAAAAGCCGATCAAATCCTGGAACCCATTGACTTCCCGGGGGCGGGAGAGCGATCTACCACCGGCCTAGCCTACGATCCAAGCGACCCATCTCGCCTTTGCCGGCGAAGGAAGAGAACCAAAAAAAAATTGTCTCCACCACCGCCCTTACGTACAGCACGGACCCGAGCCAATCCCCTGGAACCACGTGTCGGGCCATCGACATATCCACAGTCGTTGGTAACTTAGTATCACTGTCCCTGGTTCTTCTTCCTCTTCCTCTTTGGCTTCTTTTTCACAGCGTCCAAGAGACTCGTTGGCTCGAGCTTTGCTTCTTTATGCGCTGCCACTTCCACCATCTCCACATCTGTGTTCTTCTCCGTCGAAAACACGGGACCAAGTTGCCTGTCTTGCTGTTGTGGCGGAAGTGCTTGGTACACTGATGCCGCAGAAACCAGGCCTTGAATCCCTCCTGGCTGTGTTTCCACTTTCACTGACTTTTTGACTGCCAGATCAAACTCGTCCAGTGCCTCAGCATCTGCATTTTACAGTTAAAAGCAGGGAAAAAGGAAAAACTTGGAACTTTACCGAGTGGTCTTGCGCTCTGGAGACTCCTGAGAGAGTGAAACGTTCATGTCAATTGGATACAAGGAAAGCTGAAGTGACGTGACTTGCATACCAAGTAGAAGCACCGCCTTGGAACAGTCGTCCTTCCTCCTTCCGTGCTGTGTCTTCTTTCGCGTCCGGCTCCTCCTCTTCGCTGTCCGTGTCGCTTTCCATCGGCGTAGCTTCAGCTTCCAGCTTTAAGCTTCCGGTTGAAGTGAATTCGTTAAGCTGTGGGCCTGTGTTAAGCTGTGGAACTGTATCAGCAACGACTTGGGCGGTCTTGCTGTCTTCTGACGGTCGATGCCGTCGGACTTTTCTTTGCGCTCTTTCGATCTCATGACTTTCGGCCTGAGAAGCGACCGCATTGTAAATTGAAAAGGAAAAGCAAAAAAGAAGCATACCCCTTTCTTCAATAGAGCCGCGGTTTCAGCGGCCTTTGACGCTGCTATACGCATGCATCGTAGTATTTCATTCATCCGGACGGCAACACCACCTCCTTTCTGGATCGCACAAACTTCTCCATGAGCGTTGACAGTCACTGTTAAACGGCCACCCATCACCGCTTCTTCCTTCAAGCTAGGATCTAACACCTGCAAAGTAAAATTTATAAGAAAAACAACGACTAGTGTCACACACAACGAAAACTTACGACTAGCTCGCCATCAGCCAAAAACCCGAATGTTACAGCTATTGGCAAATGATGTAGCGTAAGAGGAAGTGGCTCGCGAACCTGAAAGCACAAGGCCAGAATAAGATCAAGCAGAGAGCGTTTGAGAAAACCTCAGGGGGATGGATAGTTATATCCTGACCATCTGCACCACCAATGCTACATTCCGGCCTTCGAAACGAGAGAAGCCCAGCTAGAGCAGCCAGATTGGCAACGTCTATAAGATTACTGCCAATGAAAACCAAATGCTAACGTTCGAATGGACCAAACATCAAGAAAAAAGCTTACCCTCCATTGTCTAGAATGTGAATATCGATGCGCAAAAACCACACGGCTTTTCCTGCTAGAACACACAGTGATTCTGTGTCCACGGCCCTGCTTTCCCTGGAAACAGTAACAGTGAAGTTGATTGTTCTACACGAAAAGAAGAGAGAGAGAGAGAGAGAGAGAGAGAGTGATGGAGCATACCTTAAGCCACGATCGATAACACGTCCCAGCTCTACTGCTAATTCCCCAGGACGCCCAGGCTCAAAGGAAGGATCAGCCATTGGCGAAAATTCCGTGTTAATGACCAGGGAGCCCTCGTTCGGACGATCCGGGTATGGCGTCCCCAGCTGAGCGCTCACCACGGCCAGCACCCTCGTCTCCCCTTGCTGGACTTCCACAGCTCCATCTTCCCTGCCGAGAAAGAGATTTCGAGCGAATCGAGAGAACTTTCTCCTCTTACCTGGCGAAATTGATGAGCGAGCGGCGAGAATCAAAGGGAGCCCGGCCGTCGACACGCAGCTCCTGCCGCAGCGCCGATTCCACGAACTCCCGCTCGTTGATGCTAATGCGCACGCTGCCCGCCATGGCCAAAAACCCTAAACCTTAAACTCTATAAGATTAAATGTTTGATTATACTCTAATAAATATTATTGTACTAAGATATCTGACTAATCAAAGCTTTAGAAGGAACTTCGTTCACGATTGTCACTCCTAATCAGCTGAACCAATTGAACAAGCCTGTTATTCAGTGGCTGAAGAGGCCTTGCATTTTCTCCCTGGATAGAAAAAGAAAAAAAATTCTTAATTATTAAATCGATTAGTATATAAAGATACCTTCAAAGACGCTTTGAGCGCCCAATACTGGTTTTCTGGCTGTGAAAACCAGAATGTTAGAGCTTTGAGCTGCATGGAAGGCTAAAAGACTCTCACCTGGGAATAAACATATTCTCGGAATATGGAGGGGTTCCACAAGGATTTCAAGCAGTTCGGGATTGATAGTTCTTATAAATACATCTTCTGCCAAACGTGGAAGATAACATTCCAGATGAAAACATTTTAAGTTTAAAAAAGAAACAATAGCAAGATTAAATCTACCTGGGTAATAAACGGATCTGCCCCCGGAATTACTGCAATGTTCCCTTCGTGAACCACGTGAATCTCCATAGGATATCTGCAAAGGATAGTAGTAAACAATAATAATCTATGAGGAGACTCCAGAAACCTTCTGCCATCGATGGTGTGCTCGCTTGGGATGTCGACGTGATATATTATCCATAGAAGATTAAACTGCCCGGCATCTCCAAGAAATCCCACCCAGTTTTGAAAGATGTTTAAGAATAACAGGGACAAGAGTTCTAGCTACAAACAGTGAGTTCTCTAAGATCTTTAACCCCGCGATGTTCAACGATCGCAGATGAGGATTTGTCCACAACTCCTGGAGTAGCCGGGAAGCTCAAAGCAACTGGCGACTTGTTTTAAACCACTGGTGGCATCTGCCAAAAGAGAAAAACACAAAGAAAAGAGCCTCAATGGAACTCTACATATCCTTCTGTGGCTATTAACCTGCGAGAAACCAAGCAAAGAAAGGACACAATCAGCATTGATGTGCAAAGGATGAATCGAAGGGATGAATTGGATAACAAGGAAAAGGACTGTCTGGATTCATGAAACTGGACTCATGACTATTAGAAAAACAAACAACATGTGAGTTTTGGTACTACATGGTGTGGTAGAAGTTGACAAACTACATAATGTAGAAAAAGCTGCATGCATACGTACATAAGAATGCGTGTGCAAAAAACATCACATTAATATTATAAAAAGCGCATTTTATAAGTTCAAAGAATAGGAGATAAAACCCTAAACCTTATACTCTAATAAGTTTATTTTTGATAATTTATACTCAATAATAATAATAATAATAATAATAATAATAATAATTATTATTATTATTACTACTACTACTACTACTATTTTATTTTTTTGGTTTGCTTAAGCAAACCTGGATGGTATTGGATATACCTAGAATATGCTTGGATGTTCTAGGATATTCTACCATCTAACGGTTGTTATTCATTTAGATTAATCTTGTATTTATAATTTATAAACTTTCTTAAACCTTTTCTAGTATATTCTTTTTCATTCTACCATCTTGATATGCAATAAAATTAATCTTGTATATATAAATTACAAACTTGCTTATAATTATAAACTTTATTTGATCAATTGGATTAATAAGTAATAATAACATTAGTATTAAGCAAACCAAGCATTGCTACATGCAACACGTAGCAATTTTTTTTATTAGTGAGACATTTTATTATGTTTGATCAAAGCTTTAGAAGGAACTTCTTTCATGAAAGTCACTCCTAACCAGCTGAACCAATTGAACAAGCCTGTTATTCAGTGGCTGAAGAGCCCTTGCATTTTCTCCCTGGATAGAAAAAGCAAATCATTCCTGATTATTTATTTGATTAGTGAATAAAGATACCTTCAAAGCAGCTTTGACTGCCGAATACTGGTTTGTTGTGAGACTGGTCGGCTGTGGAAACCAAAGAAAAACAAAAACTATGAGCATAGAAGGCAGGTAGCAGGACTCTCACCTGGGAATAAACATTCCACACGACATTCTCGGAATATGGAGGAGTTGTAAGCGAGCCATTGTATCGGAAGAACATGTCTGAAGGGATTTCGAGCAGTTCGGGGTTGATAGTTCTTATAAACACAGCCTTGCTTTCTTCCGGGGAGGATGCTAACGTTGGAAGATAGCGTTCCAGCTGAAGGTAAAAATAAATTTAAGTTTTACAACAAGCAAGGACAAGAATAAATCTACCTGGGTGATAAATGGATTTGCTCTTGGTCCAATATCATAGAGCAATCCAATTACTGCAATGTTCCCTTCAGAATTCTTGTGAACCACATGAATCTCCATCGGATATCTGCAAAGGATCATAGTAAACAGTTAATAATCTACGAGGAGACTCCAGAAACCTTATGCCATCGATGGTGTGCTCGCTTGGCATATGAAAGTGAACATTTTCGATGTGGTATATTTTCCAGAGAAGATTAAACTGCCCGGCATCTCCAAGAAATCCCACCTAGTTTTGAAAGATGTAAGAATAAAATGACAATAACTCTAGCTACAAACATTAAGTTCTCTATGATCTTTGTCCCCGCCATTTTCAAAGATTGCAGAGGAGGATTTGTATCTCGTGTCCACCACTCCTGGAGTACCAACTGATCCCCGGAAGCTCAAAGCAATTGGCGACTGGTGTTTTAGACCACTGGTAGCATCTGCCGAAAGAGAAAAACACGAAGAAAAGCCTCAGTGTAGAACTCTACATATCCTTTTGTGACTATCAACCTGCGAGGAAAACCAAGCAAAGAAAGGAGACAATCTTCACTGGAAGCATTGTTGCGCAAAGGATGAATCGAAGGGATGAATCTGATAACAAGGGAAGGAGTGTCTGAATTTAAATTGGACTCATCACCATTAGAAAACAAACAACATGTGTGTGTACTGCAAGGTGGAAATTGACAAACTCCGTAATGTATTAAAGCTGCACGCATACATCTGTTAAGAATGCGACGCGCAAATAGTTTAAAAAGCCGTAATAAAGTTTATAATTTATAGACAACGAGGATATTCCTATAAGAGAATATCCATTACCATTCAAAAAATATTAAAAGGTGAGATACAAGGTTTTCTAGATCTTACTATCAGAGGTAGGGGACTCGGAGGCATACGCGGGTCGCTTGCTCTTCTTCTCCAAGTAAACATACCAGCGATAAGCCTCCAGACCTGCGGTGGCTAGCACTGCTATAACCAAGAACGCCGTGTAGAGGTTCTTCAAAGTCCTGGACCCCTGGAGCAGCTTAAAACCCTTGTAAATGTTGGTGAAGATGAGAACGAGAGTGAGGTAGCCGAGGCCGTGATGGTAGATCTTCCAGTAGGGGCGGATCTTGTGCTCTTTCTCTGGTCTGAAAACAAGCGAAAGCACCTGAAGGAGAAACAAGGAACTCCGTGTTAAGCTGAACCAAAAGGCTTGATCTTTGATACCTGAAGTGTTGCAAAGACGAAGATGGCGGTACCGACGTTTTGGTGGACCTGAGAAGCAGCCGATTCTCCACTGTAGCTGGCGAGCTTAAGTCCGATTCCCCAGCCAACCACACCGAGAAGATAACCCGTGCACTGTAAACCGACGTGACCGAAGAACCATTCTCGGCGGTGGGAGTAAGGCCTGACATATCTAGCCACCATGACCCCGAGCGGTAGAAAAATCCCCCAGCCAACAGCATTTATTATTCCATGTTGCTGTAAAGAGTTCACGATAAGAAAAACTCAAGTTCTGTCCAAAGAAATAAAAAACTTACGAGTTTTAAAGACTGGTGAGGAGCTTGAGCACGGAGAATTCGATTGCTGCTCATGTCGAGAACAGCGGTAGTCTGTCGGAGAAACGATGCGTCCGTTGTGTGAGGCAACGGGCTCAAGTTCCTGGTCCCGGGTCCTCGACAAAAAACGAGGTTGATCCTGGAAATTGACTGGTTGGTCGGCAGCGAGAGCTTGGCAAAAATGGTGACAACTCCGCTGGAAATATCAATGAAGCTAGAACCGACTAGTCTCAGCTCCGTGGAAGAAGCTGGCGAAGGAAGCGTACCTCGGAGGATCTGGGGAGTGAGGCTGTACTGCGCAACTCGGATAACATTGCTCGAGTCTGTGAAGCCGAGGAGGACGTTGGATCCGAGCATCGCCGCTGTGGAGCCCGAGTTAATCCCCCAGCCGACCCAACCCGAAGGAGATGTCAAGAGAGCTCGAAACATGGTGTCCATTGTTCTTGCCGACGGATCGAAAGTCCAGGAGAGCTGCGACCAAGAGTTGAGGGAGGAGCACGAAGAGTACGTTCTGGTGTTGCCATTGAGGAGGATGCTGGCAGTGCAAGCTCCAAGAGCCGGGGTCGTGAAGAAAACCAGGATTGGAATGACAGAGTTGAGGAGCTGAATCATCTGGAAAGCAGAAGCTACTCGCGCATAAGAACCAGAGTAAGATCTCAAGGAAATGCAGATCTTCTTACCCGGAACTCAGGTGCCACTGTTCCACGCTTCTTAGTTGAGGACGAAATGTGGATGGAATCTTCCGTAAGTGACTTCACAACTAGAAAAAGGGGTCCGCTTTTGTTGGTAAGTCTGCGTTGAGCCGCTGCTTCTCCGAGGACGAGCTAGCTATCAGATCCTCCCCTCAAGCGTGGTCTATCTCGTTTTGTCCTCTATCTTGTTATTTTAACTCTGTGTCCTTCCTCCAGCCAATTGATGTGACAAAAGCGGCTCTTGGTTTGGTTTCGAGTGACTTTTCTTATGGAGACTCGTTGTTGGTGCTTCGACAGTAGCACTTTTCTGGAACGAAGGGCCCATCCGAGCTTGGAGTATTATTTTTCCTCTTCGTGATTTGTGCTTTCGATCGTCAACTCTTCGTCATCATCTTCGACTGGCCAAAGCCTGTTTCAGAAAATCATTAAAAGCGATAAGCTGAAGTTTACCTGATCCACAATGGCAACTAAAGCGCTCATTCCATAAACTTGCACAAAATGGAGCAGCTTACGCAGTTCAGCATATCGCACCTGTCCTGCACTATTCCCATTAGAATTGCAACGCAAAGAAAAAGCATGAATTACTCATTTCAATCCGACCACAGCTTACTCCCTCAGTCTCCACTCACAAGATCTGCGCAAGATGTCCGGGAAAAAGTCAGCTACTAACATTATAAAGGAACAAAGAAACGAACTCACCACGAAGCTGAAAGCCCCTCGAGCTTTAGTCAAACGCTTTTTTTTTCTATGCTTATCGGCATGTTTCTGGTGATTCTTTTGAGATGGATCCAAGTTATCCTTGATATTCCACCATTTTCTGTGACTCTATCCAGTAATCCATTACCTGTAGAACAAAAATCATTAAAATCTTGAAGACAAAGAGTGTAGATTGACTGTAGAACACACTTGTCACAGGAAGATTCTTGAGCTCGAAACACCAAGGGCCTACCAGAAGAACAAACAAAATAGTCACTTAGATTTTCAGATCATACATGGAATGGAGCAGCAATGAGCACGATCCAGCTGCATCGCACAAAATCTAGCACTGTTTATGCGCCGGCAACATACCTTGGTCCAGGCAATGCGATCTAGCCCCGTGTTCCAAGGAATGCCTTGATCCAAACAACGCGATCAAGCCGCGTGTTCCACGGAAGAAACCCTAGAGATACCCTGGCGATTAAGCGGGAATAGGCAAGTCAAACGAGCGGTGGCGATTAAGTTCCGTATTCAAGATCAACAATGATCAGCTTGACACGTGTCGTGCATACAGGCCGTCACTTTCTTGAAAAAAATCTTCTATTTCCGTTTAAAGACACGTGCCGCAGCACGTCTGGCTGTGATTGGCTGGAGGCTCGTGCCAAGCACAAGGCAGCCTTTCCAAGCGTTCAAATCTGGACGCTCCATCGCCTCGCCATTGTGTTGCGCCCACATTCCGCCAAACGTTTTACAATCTCGACCGTTGATACATTCCGGAAGCCATCTGACGGGCACTGCTGCTCTAAAACTCCGGACGAAGAAAAGCTTTGGGGCTTATCCTTGTAGCGCTTATCCCTCCTTGCCAGAGTAGCGCGTGTAGATCGATCTCGAGAGAAAATGCTATCAGTTCGTGTCTCCCCCGCCACATCCGCCGCGCTCGTCAATCCGGCGCCAGCGGCAGCTCCAGAGAATGCGAGGAACAGGCTCTTCGCCGGAATGTCAAGCGGCAATAGGCGCTCGATCAAGCTCCAGGCCTCCAAGGGAGCGCCGCCGAAGGAGATGGACAGCGGATCTCTCACAGGTGTGGTGTTTGAGCCCTTCGCGGAGGTGAAGCACCAGCTCACGCAAGTCCCAGAGACGAGCTCGGTCTCATTCGCGAGGCAGAGATTTGCTCCAAGGTGCGAGGCTGCTATCAATGACCAGATCAAGTAAGCTCTCTTTCTTTCTCTCGAAAATATTTTGGGATCTTAGCTCTTTGCGTTTCTCACAGTGTGGAGTACAACGTTTCTTATGTCTACCACGCGATGTTTGGCTATTTCGATCGAGACAACGTTGGGCTCCCCGGCATGGCCAGGTAAGAGGTGGAGAGATCTAGTTTTTCCCAGATCAAGTGATCTTTTTCCTCAGGTATTTCAAGGAGGCAAGCGAGGAGGAACGAGGACACGCTGAAAAGTTCATGAAGTATCAGGTGATCTTCTTTTTTTCTTAAAGTTTGTGGGAGGTGTTCTTCAATCCAAGCTCACTCTCGTTGGTTTTCTTTTCCTTTTCCTTTTTGCGTTTAGAACCTCCGCGGTGGAAAGGTTGTGCTTCACTCGATTCTCGGCCCCAGCATAACAGAATTTGATCACGCAGAGAAGGGTGACGCCCTTTACGGTATGTTTGCAAGCAATTCTCTTTTTTTTTTGTTCTCGTGATTAGATTTTCTCATTCTCGTTTGTTTTGTTTTGGCAGCGATGGAATTGGCTCTAGCTCTGGAGAAGCTGACAAACGACAAGCTGCTGGCACTACACAAGGTTTGAATGCTCCAAAAGTTTTCATTGTTTATCGCTTTTGTTTGACGAATCGAGACAACGCAGGTCGCAGTAGATCACGACGACATACAGATGCAAGACTTCATTGAGTCGGAGTTTCTGGGAGAGCAGGTACTAAATTACTTAATTTTTTCTGCGATTTTCACCTCTTTAACGTGTTTTTGTGCTCGATAAAGGTGGAATCGATCAAAAAAATCTCAGTGTATGTGAGCCAGTTGAGACGTATCGGCAAAGGCCACGGTAAGAACAAAAAAAAAATGATTTTTCTGTTTGCTAAACGTTTCCTTTTGATGCAGCTGTGTATCATTTCGATCGGAGCCTCCACGATGGAGAAGATTAAGAGCTATAACTAAAATTTTCAAGGATGAAAGTTCCTTTGTATTTGTACAGGGGATTTGTTTAGCTATAAAAGACAATGCTATGTTGAATGACATAGGAATAGTAAGAAAGATCTCGCTAGGCGGCGGAGAGAGCGAGAGAGAGAGATGGCTTCGTGGGCGATTGCGCTGGCGCTGGCGATGCTGTTTCCAGCAGCTGTGCTCGCAGGCGATGATCGATCGCCCCCGGATTGCACAGCGCAGGTGTCGGAGCTGGAGCCCTGCCTGGAATTTGTCAAGGGCGAGGAGCGATCGCCCTCGGCGGATTGCTGCAGCGGTCTCCAGCAAATCCACGCCACCAAGCCCGAGTGCCTGTGCTTGCTCGTCTCCTCCAGCCTGGGAATCGCCGCGGTGGTGCCTGGAATCAATGCCACACTCGCTCAGCAAGTTCCCGGGATTTGCAATGTTCACGTCAATCCATCGCGCTGCTCTGGTGAGTCTTTTGATCGGTCGCGGGGAAATCTTTGCTCATTTCGATCATCCGGTGATATAGCTCTGCTCTCTGGATCATCTGGCACCGCTTCTTCGCCCAATTCCGGAGCGTCGCCGGAAGGTAAATGGATCGAATTCCCAGAAGCACGAACTGAATCTCGTTCTTGAATTCCTCGCAGGGTTTATGGGATCCTCCTCCAGCGTCGGCGAATCGAGCTCCAAGGCATTCTTTGTTTTTGCGTTCTCTACTCCTTTTTCTGTGCTCTTCTTCTTCCTCGCATGAGCCCTAATAAAAGCGTTTGCCCTAATTCCAGAAAATGGCGCGAGCGAGCCAGCTGGCCAAGCGCATTTGAAAGATCAGTGCTTCCATTGGTCGAATCGTGTGACGCCACGTGTCAGCGCTTCATGCCCTAAGAAGGAGCAATTAATGGAGGAATTGGTGCTCGTCACTCTCGAGAGAACGCGCTCGCGATCGATGGGACGCTTTCTAGGTATATAACCGGCATTCTCCCTGCTCCTCCCTCCCAGCCGATCTTGATCGATCGCTCGCGCTCCCCTGTTCCATTGCTTCCTTCTCCTCGATCGAGCGCTCGCGCTAGCGATATTTCTTGCCTCCATCGATCGATCCAGCGCTCGATATCACGGGCACACCCATGGCATCCTCGCTCTTGCTCCTCGCGTTCGTGGTTTCTTGCGGGGCCGTGGCGATCCTTGCGGCGCAGCCGGATTGCACGAATGAGATCGAGCAGCTCCAGCCGTGCCTGGCGTATGTGGAGGGCCAAGTCACCGCTCCCAGCTCCGATTGCTGCAAAGGGCTCCTCTCCGTGCACACCAACAGGCCAGTGTGCCTGTGCATTCTCATGTCCTCCTCCACCAGCGTGAATAGCAGCACCGCGACGCTCCTCCCATCGATTTGCAAGGTCGACACGGATCCAAAGCGGTGCCCAGGTATGAATCGAGCATTTCCTTTTCTCTCATTCGATTTAAACTTTGGTCTACTTTTTTTTACTTGTGACTTCGCTGGTAACACCATTCTTCTTTCCACTTAAGAGTCCTTTGTTCTATACTTCAGAGTCCTTTGCTCTATTTGGACTGTTTGGATTTTTTCTTCGTCCTTCTAGCATTCACTTCTCCTTGTCCGAGAATTAATTGCTTGGATCTTCATTTTTGGTAGCTCTGCTCAAGGGGGATGCTGCGGCACCAACTGGATCATCCTCATCCCCATCCACCGCGTCCGGAGGTAACAAAAAAAAAGCTTTTGTTTGTTCTTTGTTTTTAGAGTGGCCATAGCTTTAACACCATTTATTGCTCTACCAGGCAAGGCCGCCGCAAGCGACACGGCTGCGAACTCCGCCACCCCGTTCGTCTCCTTGTCCTCGTCGCTGCTCCTGACCGTGACGAGCTTGGTCCTGGCGGGATCCATGAACTTCTTGTGAAGCTTTCCAGTTCTTTTGTGAGTTTGTAGCTAGGAGGAATGTGATTCTCTTTTGCCTAGCGGTTGCTATACTATTGTTACATTATACACTACTAGATTCTGTCATACTTTGGCATATGAATTCTCAAGTTTTAGTTGCATCCAGTTCCCAGGTTGAGATTGATCTTGCAGTTGAGGAGCTTGAACTTGAGATCAGCGAGGTCCAAGTCTCCCAGAACCGGGCAAAGGCAGCCATGGAAGATCCCGAGCTGGAAGAAATCGCAGCATTCCTGGGACACGAATGGTTGCTGGAGGCTAAGGCAAGTTGCCATCTTCACCAAGTTGCAAACTCCATCGCCACCGGCGTGAAACTCGAGCGTTTCCACACCTTTTCGTGCTTGACACCGAGACAAGATGATCAAGACGACGAGAATTTGAATGGCAAATTTCATGGCTTCAAGAATTTAATTGTGAAAAACGAGAAGGGAAAAATCTGCTCTTTGTCATCCGGTTATGAAATTTATAGTCGCAAAGATTTAAGTGATGATTTTGTTGGTGCCAAAGAATCAAACATAGCTGCAAAACGTCCGCCCTCTTCGAGTAAAATTCGTGTCTCATTATTTTTGTAGTCGCATGGAGACTCCACCACACAGTGAAACTCATCATCAAAAGCGCCTGTAGCTCAGCGGATAGAGCGTCTGTTTCCTAAGCAGAAAGTCGCAGGTTCGATCCCTGCCTGGCGCGGATTCCTTTCGTGCCCTTCTTTCCCTCTCTTTACTTTTTCGATTCCTCAAATGTGGTTTGCTTGGAAGCAATCACAAGCCCAAGTGTATGTCAAGACAACAACTACAACACCATGCAAAACCTTTCATTATTCATGCCTCCTCCAGCCCAAGGTATAAAAAGGCAATGCTGGTCTTCCAAGATCCATAGCTCCCACTCAAAGATTTACAATCGATCTCCCTTTGGATTTGGAATGGCTCTAAAGTTTCCATGGATGGCTTTTGCTGTTGTGACATTGTATGTTGTTCTTATGGTTGTAACATTTGGGCCAGCATCAGTCTCGGCTCAAGGCCGGACTTGCAATGTTTTGCCCGCGGCCAGCTGCATCATGGGGGCCTCCCAGAGTGACTGCTGCTCCACGCTCACTACCGTGCTAAACAATTGCCTGTGTGCCATGGGCAATCCTGCTGCTACCGGGTTGCCTGTGGAGCTGGACGTGGTCTTCCATCTCAATCAGCTCTGTGCTATCAAAGTTGACCTTGGAGGCCCTTGCAACTGATATATATCTAAGAATATTTCATGCTCACATGAATAACTGATGATTCTTACATGGAATATAAGGTTTAGGCAAATTATGTATGTAAGAATTGATATTAGAAGTTGGTAGATCTATTAATGATCTCCTATAATCATTCTGAAGGCCAGCCTTGTATAGTATCACTGTCATCTCTAAATAATTTAATTTTTGGTTTTCTTTAGAAAAACGAAGATGTAAGGAATCTTTCTGTATATTTGTCTTCTGAGTTGTGATGGAATGGGGTGAAGATGATACTTAACATGGTGTAGTAGTACCCAGTGGCTTCTTAGAAACTTTGCTTGTTCTTGCTCTTCTTGCAACAGCAGTAATAACAAGATGATTGTAAGCACTAGTTGTGGTCATAGGTTTAGCAACAATAGAGACAAAGTGGCTAGATCATAAAAATATATATAAAAAGTCTTCATATCAGAAAAGAATGAGAAGAATAAAGGCATCTTTAAGTGCTGGCTGCAAAGATGATAAAAGAGAATTTAATCAATTTTCAAGCTCAATTTTAGAGGCAATATTTTTTTGTTTTCTGTCCTTTTCTCAGGATCTCTATTACCAAGTGTTGGAGAGAAGTATTAAGCATAAATGTTTTCTTTTGTTCAGAATTTTCTTTTGAAGAAAGTTTCTTTTGTTGAGTTTTTTATGGCTTGGATTTAAATTCTACCTTAGCACCATGAAGATCCTCTTTGTTGTTTTGCTTGATATCACATTGTAGACAACTTTTACAATTATCATGAATGTGACTTTGGATATTAAAAATATTTGTTGGCAAATTCTTTAAGATCTTTTATCCTTATTGCCATAATGGTAAGAAGTTAGTACTATTAATTCCTTTATTAGTCTCTACCCAAATTAGTTAAGAAACTAATCTATCACATGTGCACTTGAAAAGCACAAGGACTAAATTTTTACATACTATTAATAAAGCATATTTGATCTATTTAGAGAAACTTATTAATTTTTAAGTGCCATTAGTAAAGCAGTAAAGTATACTTTAGTTGGAGAAACTTATAAATTAACTTGCACTTCCTCGTATTTTGATATTGTGTTAATATTGCTATATAATAGTTTACTATGTTATTGATCTAGGTGTTAGATTTTTCAATTGGGCATATCTATAGAATTTAAAGAATATTTTTACCACTTAGTTTATTTATCTATTGTTGCAAACATGACTTTGAGTATCAAAAAATACTTGTTACCCAATCTTTATGAACACTTTCTTTTTATTGCCATGATAGCAATAAGTTGGTATTCCTAGTTTTCTTTGTTAGTCTTCATCTAAGCTAGTTGAGATTAACATATATGCATTTAAATTGGAAAGGCACTAAAGAAGGAAATCCTAAGTTGTCATTAAGTCAAGCATATTTGACACGGTAATGAGAAATTCATGTTATTAGCTTGCATTTGTTAGTGTTGAAAACCTTATGATATTGAGTTTAGTCCTTCAATATTGATACGTGATAGTTTACTGTGTTTACTAAACACCCTTGCTATCATGCCCCACGTATTGGTCCATTTAAGTTATATATGTTATTTATAATAAGTGTCTAGATTTATTAGTAGGGCATATCTACAAAATGTAAAACATGTCCTAAACACTAAAGTGTTATTTTTACATCTCAATTCACAATATAGCATAATTTTATATTTAGTAAGTTTTGAAACTTATCCTAAAGATTAAGTCCTGAGACTGGGGTGAAAGCCCAAAGTGTGTTCAGAGGGGGGGTGGGGGTTATTGTGGGGGTTCTAAATGTATACTAGGGATGGTGGTCAAAAGTATACTTGACTATTTGAGAAACTAATTTAACTCTCACTAGGTTATATCACTCTTTATTTCAGTATGCTACTCTAATTAGTGGGGTACGCACTTCTTCATAAGCCATTGGTATGTTAAAATTGTGCTAAATTTTATCTAACACTGTTTTGATGAAAAAGGGCACTTAGAGGGGAGGGTATGGCTTGAGGCCATTGTGTTTCCATTGGCCAACTGTAAACCACCTTGAAACTAGCAAGATAAGAGCTCCAAAGTACCAAACAAGGTGCAATTGACCCCAATTCACATACTCTTGTGATAAAGAGACCAAAAACACTCTTTTATATTGCATTGTTATTAGTAGGCTATGAGGCACTCTCTCCTACTCTAGAATTCTCCCTCAAACTTTCTCAATCCTCTCAAAAGAATAGTCTAAAGATTTAATGTTCAAGAATGCTTTTATATTCAAGACTATTATTTTAGAGTTATTGTGTTGCCATTAGTAGGCTGTGGAATGACCATACACAACCTCAAGGCCACCATGTTACTATTGGCATGCCATGAGATCCCTTTGGAAAACACTTTCTTCTACAAGATTATTATTAAACATTGTTAAACACTTTTAAATACTTTAAAAAAGGGGTAAGGCCTAGCCTATTCCCTCCTGCTCCCAGAAAATCTCTTAAAATTGGATTGAAAATCTTTATGCACTTTGCCTTATAGTAAAAATCTTGAAATCGTAGAGAAATATGTAGTGGATCTCCTTTCCTTGCCTTAGTGCCACACATAGATTAAAACACACTTTCTAGGGTTTGAATGGTCTTTGGGTTGAGTAACCTCCCAAAAAATTCAAATTCATAAAAATTTGATTAAATTAAACTTGAGTTAGAGATTCCTTTATGAATTTGGTCCATCTCTTATATCTATAGCTTTAGATCTTTGTTAGGACAACTTGATTAGCCTGATTAAGGAAACCTTCTTTTTCTCATCCATCCTCTTCTATTGCTTATGAACACTGGATAGAAAACATTCTTCCTCTCTTTCTTTTTAAGGATCATGTGTCTCTACTTCTTCATAATCCTCTTCCTTACCTGAATCCTCAGTTACCACCATATGATTTGCTGAACCTTTCTGATTCAAAAGATAATTGGCCTAGTGATTATCTCCTTTGTATCAAAAGCATTTCTAGTTCTTTGGCTTAATCCAGAATCCCCAAATGCTCAATCTACTAGCTTCTTCCCAAAAGTTGCCATTTGATGATCTACCCTTCCTAACTTTAGCTTGAGATTGTGGTGTATTTGCCTGCTTGAACAACTCTTTGACATCCAACTCTCAAGCATCCCTTACAGCATCTCAGAATATCTCAGGAAATTGATTCTCTATCATAGTGAACAAGTATTTCTTGAGCCCACCTAAGAAATTATCCCACAACTGCCAATCTTGAAAAGGCCCTAGCTACACTACAGTATGACTCAAAGCTATATCTTAGATTCCTTCTGCTTCTTCATCAGAATTTTGAGCATAAGCTGATAACTATCAAGGCTTAGGAATCTTTCCCCAAACTTGAGGTCTAGCTAGCCCGATGATCCTAGAATTCCTCCTTATTGGCATTCCACCCGTGTTAGCCAAGTTGTCATTGCAAATAATTGTGCTATATGTAGACCACTCGTTAACCTTGTTGGCTATGAAGAGACTGGAGAGCCAGATTTTCATCTATCGGACTGTGGAAGCTTGAACTTTTCTGAAATCATGGAAGTTCGTGAAATATAATGAATCCTCCTGCCTTTAAAACATTGTGGAGAGGAACTTGCTACCTCTTGAGCTATTACTGCTGCAGCACTGCTACTCCAAAGATTCGGTCGTCCGAAGTGGTGGTGGAGATTGGCAGAGGTTGCATTTGAGGCTTTAATCGATCTAGGCGAGTGTCGTGCTGCGATCTATCTCCTCATGGCTGGGATCTACGCAGGTGGGCAGATCAAGAGTAGATCGCTGTTAGGATCCAATATCCAAACCAGTGTGGAGGAAATCAAACTGCGCCCACAGCAGAAAGATCGATCAAAAGTTGGTCATGGGAGGT